TCCCACCCATTAGACCAAGTCAGCCAAACTTGCCACGCCTGTCTTGGGATAAGCCACTCCCAGTCTTGACTTTGTCTTCAGCCCAGATGGATGTGACAAATTTGGCTCCCTAGCACCTAACATCATCCGCAGGCAGGTCACGGCCCTGTCCACCTTACTTACCTGCGCCAATTCAGTGCCTTTGACACAGCATCCCAGGATACACTCCTTTCTCAAGGGTGCCACCAACACTAAACCACCCGCGGTACATAGATACCCCTCCTGGGAACTGCCACAGGTCCTGCCCTCACCAAATCACCGTTTGAGCCCATCAGATCTTGTTCCCTGAGGTCTCTGTCCCTGAAGATCACTTTCCTGATCGCTATCACCTCAGCCAGGCTCATTTCTGAGCTCGCAGCACTGTCAGTCAGAGAGGACCTCTGCACCTTCCACCAAAACTGGGTGGTCCTCTGATTGGATCCTACCTTCATCCCTAAGGTCAACACCCTTTTTCATAGGGCCCAAGAAATCATTTTACCAGATTTATGCCCTAATCCGTCTCACGCCTTGGAACGGCAGTGGCACACACTGGATGTTCGCAGAGTGTTATGCTACTATATCAAGCAAACGGTGCCCTTCCGCAAATCTGAAGCCCTCTTTATTTCCTTTCACCATGCCTCTAGCAGGCAGAAGGTGTCTGCTCAACCATAGGCAGGTGGATCAAGGCTTACATTGTGGAGGCATATGGGTCACTTTCCCTGCCAGTGCCATGCCATGTCATGGCACATTCTACTCGCAGTGCTGTGACCTCCACAGCATGGGCCACACAGGCCTCTATCAAGGAGGTTTGCAGGGCAGTGACATAGTCATCACCCACCCCATTTGTACAGCATTATAAGATAGACCGATTTGCATCGGTGGACGCTTCCTTTGGAAGGAGGGTCCTTCAACAAGTGGCTACTGGGGACATGGCTAGGGTTTCCGCTGTTTCCCCCCCATTGGGACAGTAAGGCTTTGGTATGTCCCATTGGTGGATTCTCCATCTCTGGTGTTGGAGAAGGGGCATTGGGCATGCTTCGCTCCCCAATGCTCTAATGCTTAGCAATGGTAGAATAGAAGGGGCGTTGTCTTACCTGAATGCCTTTTCTCAGCACAGAGATGGAAAATCCACTCCCACCCTTAAGATCAGTTAGGCCATAGTAGGGATCTGGGAGCCAACACGTCAGACTGTCGTCAGCTGCTTTTGCCTTCATCAAGACTGGGAGTGGCTTATCCCAAGACAGGCGTGGCAAGTTTGGCTGACTTGGGCAGAAAGGCAGAGCTAACCCATTGGTGGATTCTCCACCTCCATGCTGAGAAAAGGCATTCAGGTAAGACAACACCCCTTCTATTCTACCATTGCTAAGCATTAGAGCATTGGGGAGCGAAGCATGTCTGTTTTTGGCTTCTGAAACTTGCTCTTCCCATGCTTCTAGATTTTAGTAATGCAATGTGCCCCTAAATTTGGAGCTATGATTTACTACTATATACTAAATATTAAAAATAAAATACTTTTTGGCAGTGATTTCTATGTTCAAAACTTTATTTCCACCAACCATACTGTTGGCCATATTGGGTGGAAATATTGGGAAAGTCATCCATTTTCTATTCCCACTTCTGAGCTTTCTGGATATTTTGAAATTTGACAAACTGAATTCTGCTGAAGGGACACTGTATCTAAATCAGTTCTTAGATAAATGGAATTGATTGAATCAAGTTAGTAGAGATTTAAGGCCAAATTTTGTAATCTTATTAGAACAAATCCCACAGAATTGCAATTTTAGAGCCTAGCATTCCCAAACTCTCCTCCTACTCTTGACTTATAGATGCTTTCTTTCCTGTTTTATTATCTTATTGGTTTATTCCTCCTTTTTGATTTCTGAAATAGGCCCAGGAAGAAACTTGAACTAAATTACTTATAATAACTTGAGATATTCATAGTGCAGGGGAGTTTTTCACATAATCCAGGGGAGAGCTAATCACATTGACTATTACAGTTAGTTAATGAAACTTTCAGTTTACTGATAATCAGGATAGAACTTTGCACTCCAATCAGTAGAATGAACAGGTAGGGGCAAAAATGTAGCAGGCTGGCTTGATAATTTTTGAAGTAAAAGAATATACAGTTTCATCTTGGGAATGCCCTTCTCCCAATAACACCATGAATTCCAGAGTCTAAAATAATTTAACACTACTACAGCATGATTCCAACAAGGTCACAATGTTTTTATGAGGGGCATAAAAAAAAGTTAAGGAAGTTTTTGCCAACATCCACCTTGATTTTATTTTTTAATCCTCTGTGAATGTGCCTTATTCTTTGTATTGCAACTTGCTTTGAGTGCATAGTTTTTTTTTAAAAAAAATAACATTTTATTAAGTTGTAAAGTAAAACACAAAATACAAAGCAAATAGTAGGCCACAATGGGGAGGGAAAGGGGAGAAGAAAGGGAGGGAAAGGGAGGAAAAAGAAAAAAAAAGAGATTGACTTCCGACATCCCCTGTTGCAGTAGAATAAAGCATTAACGTCAAGCGTCAGAGTGCATAGTTTTTTTAAGTAATACGAATCTGCTGAGACACACATATTTCCCTAAATAACTCTTAGTATATGTGGTGACTTTCAAGGGTTTGCTTGAATGTTTGAACATTCAGCCTGCATCTTACTATGTTGTTTGAAAGCTGAATGGAAGGGGGACAGGAGAGAGAGAGAGAGAGAGAGAGAGAGAGAGAGAGAGAGAGAGAGAGAGAGAGAGAGAGAGAGAGAGAGAGAGAGAGAGAGAGAGAGAGAGAAGATAGGAAAGCCTCATGCAGGAACCTTCCCCTTTATGTTGGATGCACATAATATATCCACATGCATACCAATTCATTCATTATTCCAATTTTTCTTCAAGTGCCTGATAGGGATCAAGTCATGGTGCATCTCTCCTTATTGCCAGAAGGGACAAGTATACAGTATTTGATCCTAGCAATCCCTACATTTTTCAGAAGCAAACTGTACAGTTAGCCATGACATTCAAACACACTTACATCAAGGCATGCCTGGGAGGATGTATCCTTGGACGTGTGTGTGTGTGTGTGTGTGTGTGTGTGTGTGTGTGTGTGTAAAGAACATTTCCTGAGTGAGGATTGGAAGTCACCCTGAAAATAAGAAACTTTCCAGAGAATGATAATCCCTTCTATAATTGCTATTTCCCCAGAATGAGAGAACTGTCATAGTTATAGATAGATCCCTTATCTATCTCCATGCCATTGGGCTGCCATTAATACTATTAAAAGTCTGCTGCCCTGTTTCATTTTGGTAGCAAAACATGTCTGTTAAACCATCAAAGCATATTATAGCATGCAAGCTGAAACTTATAAGAGTAATAACACCAGTTTCTATCAAAGCCAGTGGCCTTTGCTATACATTAAAGCTTTTCCTTGGAGAGAAATTTCATTGGGTATTATGTCTGTTCTGGTGACATCACACACCCAAACTCCCAACAATCTTTCCCTGTGGTTTCTTTTCTTGTTAAATAAGTCTGTCAAGGCTAGAAGCCCTGAACTGGTTGACTCTAGTTTGACAGGCAAAATAACATAAAACATGGTAGACATGACCGCATCTCTATATGCCAAGAGAGGTTTTCTGAAAGGAACATATAATCTTTATACATTCTGAAATACTTTGCCAGGACTAATTTCTATAATATGACTCCTACAGACTAAAATTCTAAACACCATGCAATAGCAACCTTGTTAATTTCCACAATGTCTTGTTGAAGTATAATTATAAGGCTTTTAGGAAATATCAGCTGCCCATCACTGTGCCATTTTTCAAGATACAGCTTCAGCTGGCATTGACAATGTTCTGTGTACTACTGCAGAGTCTCAACATCATCAAGTAGCAGAGAGACAAAATGTCCAACGTAAACAAAAAAGATTTAGTCAGCTTTCAAAAGCCCTCTAGAGACCAACAAGTACAGAGGAGACTCTCTAAGCTGGGAGTACCACTAAGCAGGTGACACAACAAAAACAGGACTGAATTCTAATTCCGTGAGAAAGAAAGAAATAGCAGCAGAGACTTTCCTTCATTCTGACTTTAAAAATGTGTAACTCAGTGGGAAAAGGATCTCTAATGAAAAGTGGGATGTTGTTGCCACATCATACATGTAGGTTTCTGATACAGAATTGCAGTAAGTCTCAATACTTGGCAAATATTTTTTGGACTGTGTTCCCATTGTATTACCCAGGGAGGAACTGAAGAGCAAAGATGGGATGAGAACCTGGCCTTGTGCGTTGGAAAAAAATAGGTTTTTTTAATTATACATTTCGAAGGGGACAATAAAAAAAATCAAGGTGATCTGCAGGGGGACAAAAAGTCAAGATACTAGCTGAAGCAACACAACTGAAGCTTTGCCCCCACTTTTAAAATTTATGATGCATATTTTAAAAAAGGGATCAGTCTTTAGTGGCCATCCTCTTGATTTCTTTGCCTCTTCCCCATGGAAACCCTTGGCAAAGGTCACTGATTTGTGCTCAAAGATTTTTTTTTTTTAACGCACTTTAATGAAATATATGGCTGGAAGCAGATCTTAAGATAGACTTTTCTAATGTTTTGCCCTTCAGAAGTATAGGGTAGGGATTAAAAAAGTTGACTACAACTGGAGAACACCTCTGGAAGGCAGTCATAAGACATTTGATGCAGTTGCCTATGGCACTTTCATGCACCCATAAATGTCTTTCATCTCTTCTCATCACAAAAATTTTGTGGCTTTTGAAACAATAACATCAGAAATGATATATTGATGATGGGATGTGCACTCTTTACCTAGCCAATAGCTGGCGGTGGTTTTGGGAAATGGGGTTCCTTAGGTGTCTTCCTGTTGGAAGAAAGCATTCCATGAAACAATCTAGGACTGAAATTACTACTAACATTTGATATCTCAGCTATTTGCAATTTGACATATTAATTCAGGGCCAAATTCTTTCTTCTATGCCTTTCACAGATAGCAACTTCCTTCTGGCCAATGCTCAAGTACATCGTGGCTTCCCCATTGTCTATTGCTCAGATGGATTCTGTGACCTCACTGGTTTTGCCCGAACAGAAGTCATGCAGAAAAACTGCAGCTGCCGTTTCTTATGTGGCAGTGAGACCAGTGAGGCTGTTCTGCAACGCATTGAGAAAGTATTGGAAGGAAAGCAGGAATACCAGACCGAAGTCTGCTTCTACAAGAAGGGCGGTGAGTTTTGGGAAGCCCTTTCAAGTAACTTTCTTCTTCAGAATGTGACTCCAGAGGATATGACAACAGCAGGTTTCAGGACAGAACTTGAGGGTATTCAGGTCAAAGTTTTATCTGATAAATCCTACACTTTTGCCAGAGGGGCAGAATTCCTTATTTACTATATGTAAAATAAGAGCCCAGTATGTTGTTTTGTATGAATTTTGTAACTGCAGAAACAGTTAGTGTTTACCTAACTCAGGATACTCAGAACATTAGCCTTCACATTTTAAAGGGAAAGTTTCAACTCTGTAGGTCTGCCTGAAAGCCCATCTACTGTTTTTGCTGGTAACCTACCAGAGATTAAAAAATAATAAGAAGAATGTTTTAGTACTCAGTTTACATGATCTATACAAGTTGTAGAACTGTAGAATGGGAGGGAAGATGGATAGGGAAATGATTTGTAAACACTGAAGGGCAGAGCAATTTAAAGATGGTTTGCTATAAAAGATGGATTGTCAAGGAAACTACAGTGCATCTAAAGCAGAACATAGATTGCTAAAATTGGAGGTGGAGGTAAGGTTTCCAGATCTTTTCTTTTCCTTTTGGTGGATTTTAAAATTTAATTTCCTCCCTTTCCCACTGAGGCTGCACTAGATCATAAGCTTGCCTTCAGGAACTCCGTAACCATTGCCCACCTCTGGAACATCCTATTAAAGAGCAGCTCTCTGATTCATGCTGATGGGAGTTTCCATGTGTGCGCCTGGGAATGCAAGCCAGAAGACAAATCCCTGGTGATGGAGCTCCTTTCTACTGGTATTGGGAAGCTTCTGTAGAACCTAAATCCTTTTAGATGACAGAATTGGAGAGATGCTCTGTAAGTGGATTATTTAAATTGAAGAATACACAGCGTCCTGGAGTATAATAGAGCAATGCAGAATGCACAATTAATTGGTTTTCCCCACAAAAGTAGAAAGCAATTGGAAGTATTTCCAGTGGAATGCCAAAACAGTGTTCCAGTGTGAACCTAGGATACCCATATTCTTTAGAGGCAATTTGAGATGATGGGTTTTGTGGCTTCTTAAATGACAAAGCCACTAAGCAGCTTGGGCTTTGCAAACCTCTGAAATGAATTCTCAGTGTGGCTGTTCTTAATCCATCTTGGTGCCAAAAGCAATGATTATTTCACCTCTGTGCTATATTTGGAGTTGAAGGATATATGCAAAAGATCAGCAGGATGCCCCTCTCCAGATGTTTTAACCACAGCTTCCATAATCCATTGTCATTAGAGTGTTGGCTGGGTTTGAAAGGAATTACAGGCAAAAATACATCTGGAAAGGCAGACAGAGATTCAGTTTTATTGGCAGCCATTATTCTGTAATCTATATTTTATGAGGTCATCAACTGCCTATAAAACAGACCTTTAACTGTAGCTAAAAGATTGATTCCAACTAGATTTCCAAGAAGCTACAAGTTTCCAGAGACCTAACCCCCCCTCTTCCTCTCCCCCCTCTCTCTCCCCCTGTCCCTGTCCCTGTCTACCCCCCCCCTCTCAAAAACTACAAAATAATAAAAGCAAGGAAAAGGGAAAAATTAAAGAAATAAAAAAGAAAGCTAAAAATTCAAGAAAGGAAAAAAAGTAAAATAGAAACAAGAAAGAAAAAAGAATCAATGAAATAGTTTCCATTTTTTTGCAGCAGCTGTAAGTGCAATTGTAATTTTAGCTCTTACTCTATTACGATAACACACATCTCTTTTTTCTATAATCTGTTCTGACTATCAAAGTCATAAATCATAAGTTCATTTTTTTTATTTATCCAAAATATCCAGTTAGCTATAAACACAGATACAGTATTGTCTTTTCTCTGATCAAAAAAGTTGATTTAGCCCAACAAGTTCCATTATCTTTACCAACCATTCTTCTATTGTGCATAATGTTGAATCTTTCTTTGTGCTTGAAGTAATCAAGCTGCAGTTATCATCTACAACAGCAAAATTCCTTGGCTTTTTTTCCAAATTCCAATTTTTGTATCAATCCCAAAATAAAAACCTCTGGTTTCAATTGTATACAATCCTCTCAATCAACATATATATTTGAATCCAAAATTTTCTATCTTTTTTCATGTCTATAAAACCTGAAAAATGTCCCTTCTTGTGGTACACATTTCCAGTGTAAATTTGAAGTGCCTTTATACATTCTAGACATTTTCACTGAAGACATAGACCAATGGTACATCATTTTATATAAACTCTATTTAAGATTATAAGACGGTGTAAATTTAAACCGTTTTCCTATTGTTCCATTTGTATATTATAACCAAACATTGTAGCCCACTTTATTATATATTCTTGCACTTGTTCTTCTGTTTCAAATTTTAGCAATTACATATTCTTCATATTTACACAATTCTATTTCAAACTCAGTCTTATAATATTCAAATCTATAATTTTTTCATCTACTTTAAATCTTTCTAATAATTGTAAATGAGTGAGCCATTGACAACTATATACCTCTGCCACCAGTTCTTCTCATGTATGTTTTTAATCTTTGTTTTTAAAACTCATTAATAAAATTATATATGTATAGATGTTAAAAAATGCTGCTTTAATAAAAATGCTTAAAAGAAAAAGATGTATCATTGTTATTGTGTCTATTTATCTACTGGATTATTTTCCACTGTTTGAAATAAGACCAGTTGCAATTACAATATTTTTAAATTCAGAAGTATGGATATGGATGCCCGTCTTATATACTAAAGATTGCTTTGAATAATCACAATTCAGAGCAATATTTAGTACATGATGGGAATTGATCTCATCATATCAATTTCCAAAAGAAAAACAAATCCAACATTTGGAAGAAAAACCATGGTCCTATAAGGTACTGCAACTTCACAATCAGATCTATATCAGATTCCCTTAACTGCCTCCTGGCTCTACTTCCTGAAGCAAAAGTCAAATCTTAATTGCTTTCTGGAAGTTGAAGAGGGTTCAGGCCTCTGAATTTGAGGGGGAATCCCTGTTCTATAAGGTAGGCACCATAACCGAGAAGGCGTGATTCCTCAGCCCTGCAAGATGACAATATTTATCAGAGGGGACCTGGAGTGTGCCTGCCTTGTCAGATCTGGTGGACTGGACAAAGACCCTTGAAGACTTGTATGAGATCTTTTTTTTTCTTTTCCTCTTTGGTTTAGGAACAGCCTTTTGGTGCCTGCTGGACATTGTCCCTATCAAGAATGAGAAAAGCGAGGTGGTCCTTTTCCTCTTCTCCTTCAAAGATATTACCAAGAGTCATGGAAAGAACCATCTCAATGAAAAAAAGGAAGGTGAGGGTATTTGGAGGAAAAACAACAGGCTCAAGGAGCAGGGGATTGAATTAATATATAATGAAATAATCAGCCTGTTTTCAGTCCATGCAACCTTTGCAAATGCTTCTGGTAAATCATTTAATTTGATTTCCCTGTTATTTTGCAACTGAACAAAAAGGCATGAAACTGCTCTTAAAGGCTTCATTAAAATACACATTTCTAAAAATATTCTCAGACTGAAATTCTTAAGTGTCCAGAACTATATGCATCTCCCCAGTGAAAGTAATAGTGGAAATTCTAGTTTCAGAATATATTTTTGATTGGCTAGTCAGAAGAACAATTTGGAAAGCTAACTTAGTTAACAGGGTTTTTTTTGTTTTTTGTTTACTGAAACTCCATTAGAATATGCTAGCCAAATAAATATTTGATTAGATTAAATCAAAGAAGTCCCTATATCAGAGGAAGAAGTAAAACCATCAATAATCAGCATACAGGTCTTTAACAACAAGGGTGGATTAACTAAAATAGTTTCAAGGAAGATACCTATTTTCAATAATAAACTGGATTTAGTAGACATAGTAACATTTATCTTATTTTTGATTTAGAGTTCTGCTATGAAAAACATGGTAATTAGCTCATATGTAATATGTAATTATTTTATGTATGTAATACATAAAATAAATGTTCTTTCTCAGCCATCTCTTTTTAAGAAGATGATCTAGTTTAACTATTGATAATTATTGAGAAACCTTGTATGATAATCCTTCTCTTTCCTGAATTGTTTCTTTCACTTAGAAAGATGCCCTAGGGCTAGCAGGTGTGTGAACCCTTCACAAATCACTTGATAGAAATTCTCAGTAATAGGAAGAGCTGGTCAGGAGATACAAGATAGACAGATAAAATTATGAAATCAGCATTTTAGAAAGAGGTAGTGAGAGCAAGCAACAATGATAGCTCTGAAAAAGGAAGCAGGTTAAAATGGCTAAGTTGAAAGAACCACTACATACAAGCTCTTCCTGTTTGATAATTGGTACCATGATTCTAGTCTTACTCTTTTTTTTTCCAGAAAAGTATCACTGCAAGAAGGCAAGGAGCTCCCACTTGTGGGTGGCCAGGAAACAAGGGCGGAATGCTTTGCACCATCTCACCAGGCAGTTCAACAAGAAGGAAGGGACAGAGATGAAGATAAACAGTGTAAAGATATCCCCTACATTCTTACCCCTTATTTCTGGGCAAGGGAGAGGATTAAGGCTTCCTTGAGACCAAGCTTTTTCAACTATAGCTATGATGATAGTAACATAGTTTTTCCATTAGCACATCCAAAACTCCTTTGTGGACTTTGTGGTTCAACTCTTTAGAATCACCCACTGCCAAAATGACAGGACATTCCAGGATAGTGCAGTGTCTGTGGAACAGTGGGTATCAGAAATCTGCAGGATGGCATGTTTGGCATTGCCATCCAAGCCCCACCATTTTCATGAATGTGCTGAATGTACATAGGGGCAGGACTTTGATCACAACATACCACTTGCCATCTTGCAGATTTTGATGCTTATGAGAGTATAGCTTGCAATCTCTGTTTAGCACTATAGATCATCTGGCACAGAGGATATTTTGATGGGGAGGGCAATTCTCTTTAAAGACTTAACAGCTTTTAATGTAGAGCCACTCCCATACTATCTCCAAGCAGAGCTTAATCCCCAAAGAGATATGAATTGAGAGATATAAACTGAGGTAACCACAAGGTCTGTTATGTGGTTAATAACAGTAAGACTCACTTTGAAAAAGCATTTTAACCTCTGCTAACGTTTTATCTGAAACCTGTACAGCTAAAGCAATTCATTGTAAAGGGAAGCAGTCCCTCTCAATATTAAAGGGAGCTTCATAGGGATTCCTCTTAAAAATCTTCTGCAAATTGCAAAGTCAGCATTTTTAGCTTTCTGCTGCTCGTTTCTTGTTTTCAGCAGAGTTTGTTGTGCAGAATGGAGAAGGTCTTGCTTGTTCCTAAGTTGCATGTAGAGAAATGGACATGCTATCTGGTCATGCAGTTGGGATGCATCCCAGATATATCTGGAGGTTCTGGGGTAGATTCTGGTAGCTGCTAGAAAACCATCCTGTGTACCTAACAAACCAGATTTTTGCTTTTCTCATTTCCTACTCAGAAGGCCTTGACAGCTGCTCCCTCCTGATCTAAGACCAGGACAGATTAAAAGGCTTTGATCTATTTGAGGGAAGTGCGGTGTTTGGATGTTGAGAGGGAGGAGAGTTAGTTGAAGAACTGCCTAAGCAGCTGTGCAGGCAGCTATCTATTCCAGCTACAAGCTGGGTAACTCCCTTCTCTGCCATGAGAAAATCTGTATTTACTTATACTAAGCTGATAATGGTGGCTAATCTTTGTTCTGGGGCAGGGGATGTCCTGATCCTCATCCACAGTGAGGGGATGTGCACATGTTTTCACACATTGAAGAGTTTTGGAAGAGAATATTGAAAAAGAAAGTGGCCTCCAAATATTAGAGTGGTAGTAGAAAAAGTAGAACAACATCCTGTTTCCTTCTGATTTTCATATAAGAGACGTATTCAGATGCCTGTTGTAATGTGAGATGACTGGCAGCTACACAAAAAAGAAATGCTGAACATTATTACTATGGAAGTAGCCTCTTGGTATTTACACCTTCCTTCTTTTCCTGCCCCCTTGTTTTCCTTCTTATCACAGATGAATGATGGCCAGTAATTAGATTTTGATGAGTTATGGTAACCTGCAATTATAGTACTTCAAACTCATATAACCCACTGCATTTTCTTTTTCCTTGTTTAAATGTTTATTGCAAGAAATTGAGAAATTAAGAGAAAAAGATAGAAGGGACAAAAAGTGTATGAGGGAAAAACATTACATATGCAGTTAAAAATATTTAAATTTTCCAGAATGCTCTCAAGTCATCATTTCCTTTGTTCTTTTGTAACAAGAGAGCTCTCTGGTGGCCTAAACAGCTTATTATATTTGACTTTATTTACATATATACAAGCTGAACAATTAAGAGACAGATAATATACTCTCCTCACTAGTAAGAAATATACTGCCCCCATCAAATTTCCTAGAGAAGAAGCAGCTAAAAATACTTAGAAGGTTTAGATTTCCAGAACAAAACATTATTTGTAATTCTCAGACTGTTTCTAGTCTTTTATTTCTTTATTGCAGACACTCACTCATCTCTTTCCAGCTAGGTGTGGGCAAATATATTGCATTTTCTATAAATTGTTCCTTCTGTTTAAAAAAGGAACTCTGTTCTAAATATTCTGGACCATTCATCGGTGATTTCTTTAAACAATAGAGGAAATTGGCATGCTGGGCCACTATTAAGGAATCTTATGCACTTCTATTAATATTAATATTCCAAGCTTTAGAAAAATTCAGATTCGTTGACAACAGTGCTTTAACTCAGGAGTTGGATCTTAATCCCTTTCTCAGTTTAGAATTAAATGTATCTTGTTCTGTTGGATTGCACAGAAAGTTAAACTGATCTGCTTTGATGTGGATTCTCACTCATTATTTTTAATTGGGATGTCCAAAACATGATGTATCAATTGCTTTGAATGTCTTATTTTTGAAAAGAGACAGCAGAGTGCAGTGTACTCTTAACTCCTGTTTTATCATCTTCTGCAACGTTGCTTATAAAGAACACCTGTTTTTTTTAATTAAAATTTTTTTAAATTTTACAATAAAAACCCCTTCCCCAATCCCTCCCAACCCACCCCAAAACCCTCCCCCATTCTTCCCAGAGCTGAATACAGGCTTAACTAGAACTTAAAAGAAAAAAAAGTTTTAAGCCCAAATAAACCTTAAGCAAATATAATTACACTCAATAAACAAGTTGTAAAATACTTTAACTCCATTATATATAAAAAACAAAAAGAGGAAAAAAAAAGAGAAGATAAAAAAAATAAAAAATAAAAGATTAAAGAATAATAATAATTACACTTCTAGATAATATCTTAAACTTTAAATATAAGTTATTCGAAAGCTAGATAATATTTTCTTATATCATACTTATATTGTATAAAATTTATTCATCTTTTCCACACCAAGAGATACTTCTCTTGCGATTGATCTTTCAAGAAAGCCGAAATTTTTGCCATTTCCGCTAAGTAAGAAACTTTTAAAAACCATTCTTGCAAAGTAGGCAAAAATTCCTTCTTCCAATATTGCCCTATTAACAACCTAGCCACAGTAATTAAATTTAACATTAAAATAATCTCTTTGTCATCACAATCCGGAACAATACCCAATAAAAACAATTGTGGAGTAAATTTTATCCTTCTTTTAAAAATTCTTTGAACATTCCACCATATCTTAATCCAAAAAGCTTTTATACTTTCACATGACCACCAGATATGATAATAAGTAGCATCCAAGCAACCACATCTCCAACATTTAGGCTGCAAGTTTGGATACATACGAGACATTTTTTGTGTATCAAGGTGCCATCTATAAAACATTTTATAAAAATTTTCCCGTAAGTTTTGGGCTTGCGTGAATTTAACATTCCTCACCCAAATAATCTCCCATGTATCTAATAAGATCGGTTCATCAAAATTTTGTGCCCACTTAACCATACAATCTTTAACTAGCTCTGCTTCTGAATCCAATTCCACCAAGACACCATAAATTCTTTTAATATGGGTTCGACTTTGATCTCTAATTTGTTTTAACAAATTCTCATCCTCTCTAAGCAAGCCCACATTATAATCTATCTTCCACCTTTCCAATAGTTGTCTATACTGAATCCATGAATAAATAATATTTTCTTGTGCTAATTCATCCATAGATTTTAATTGCCAATTTTTACCATCCCACTTAAGTAATTGTGTATAAGAAATAGTATCCATCTTAACTCCTCTCCTTATTCCTTCTATTGCATGCCATGGAATAGCCCATAATGGAATTCTTGAATCACTTCTATAATATTTCTTCCAAACCCGAAGTAAAGAAATTCTTAAGATATGAGATCTAAAAACCCTATCAACCTTTTTATTATAAATTAAATAGGCATGCCATCCAAAAAGTAAATCCCATCCCTCCAAAAGGAGTATATCTACATTTGTTAGGTTAACCCAATCATTGATTGATGTTAAGACTACAGCATCATTGTGTTTATAGTGGATGGAACTGGCTATTGGAGAGAAGATTATGGAGATCGAATGAATTTTAGAAAACAAGTTTAAGTTTAAGTACTTAGTTTAAGTATTCAGAAGACTATTGAATTGTGGGAGAAGTAAGATTTACAAACTTTTTGGAATTACCTTTAAGAGACTTATGGATAAGAGAAGGAATGTGTTTATTGTGGAGGAATTTGTTATTGGTAAAGATTTAAATAGGTATAAGGGAATTTTAATGTCTTAAGTAATGTTTAAATATGTGTTTTGGGGTAATAATATAAGTATGATATGAAAAGGTTTAGAGTATATTATAAAATGATGGATAATTTTTTCTATTATTATTATTATTTTTAAGAGAAATTAATTTGTTTAATTAAACGTATTTAGATTTGTTTAGGATTTATATGTTTTTTAAGTCCCTTTTTTTGATAGGAGAGAAGATCATGGAGATTGAATGAAAATTTTAGATAAGAAGTTTTAATATAAGTATTTAGTTTAATTATTTAAATGAGTATCCAGTTTTGATGGTATAATGAATGTTTATATGCTTATTTTTGTGTTCTAGAGTAAAGAAAGAGGGAGATTAGATTTTATATTGTAGGTATAGATATTTAAAGAAAGTAATGTTTAAATTTGTGTTTTGGGGATTCTTTATAGAATGATGGATAATAATATAAGTATAATATTAGAAAAGGTTTAGAGTATATTATAATGTGTGTTTAATGTTTGCAATTATTATCTTTTAGAGAAGATATTTTGTTTAATTTAATGTATTTAGATTTGTTTAGGATTTATATGTGTTTTAAGTTTTTTTATTTTTTATTTTCTTTGAAAAATTTTAATTAAGCCTGTACTCAGCTCTGGGAAGGTTGAGGGAGGGTATGAGAGGTTTGGGGAGATGGGGGAGGGTATGGGAGGGTGGGGGGGTTGGGGAAGGGATTTGCTTTGTAAAATTCAAAAACTTTCAATAATAAAAAAAAAGACTACAGCATCATAATACAATTTCAAATTCGGTACCTTAAGTCCACCTCTCTCTCGTATATCTTGTAAAATTTTAAGTTTTACTCTTGGTTTTTTCCCTGCCCAGATAAATTTATTGATACCTTTCTGCCACTCATCTAAATTTGCTTCTTTCTTTAAAATAGGTATCATTTGAAATAAAAAAAGAAATTTTGGCAGAACATTCATTTTGATCGCTGCTATTCTCCCCAAAAGGGACAATTGCAGCTTTTTCCAATTGTCCAAATCCTTTTGTATTCTAACCCACAGCGTTTCATAATTATTTTTATACAGTTTTGCATTGGAAGCAGATAAAATAACACCCAAATATTTTACCTTATTAACGACCTCAAAACCTGTCAATCTAACCAAGGTCTCCTTATCCAAGCTGGTCATGTTCTTAGGCAATATTTTAGTCTTATTATTATTAATTTTAAAACCTGAAACTTGTCCATACTGATTTATCAATGGTTACAACTCAGTTACGGAATGAATTGGTTGAGATAAAGTAACAACCAGATCATCTGCAAAGGCCCTTAGTTTATATTCTTTTTTATTAATTTCTATTCCTTTTATTTTTGATGATTCCCGAATTTTGATCAATAAAATTTCCAAAGTTAAAACAAACAGCAATGGGGACAAAGGACAACCCTGTCTGGTCCCCTAAAGAACACCTGTTTATCAGAATAACTTGTTTTGGGATTTTTCATTTTCAAGGTCTTACTGACATGAAGGGTGTCACAAAGCACTTATAGATAAATCTCATATGAATACTGCAGGGCCAGCCTAAGTTCAACTGTCCTAAGCACATATCAACAATGGTAACTCTTGATAGAAGCAACTTTTCATATCATAAGCAACTTTTCATATCATAAGAGGGAAACCAATATGATACCTAAAACACCTTCAAACTAAGTTGCTCACCATGCCAAAGAAAACAATGCAAATTAAAGTTGAACACAGCAAATAAGGACAATTATAAACACTTAGACTAAAGTCAATTGTGGCAGCAAAAGAATTAAAGGCATCAGAGCCAGGGAAAAACTCTGTGGTGCCCCCTTCCTTTGGTGCCCTAAGCATGCAGTTATTTTGCTAAATGGTGAATTCAGGGCTAGACTGCTGAGTATTTTCAGTGGAAGATGAAGTGAGGGGAGATGCTAGACTAGATAAGTTGGATTCCATCTGTCCTGGAATCTTCCTCTGACACAGTGAGCTGTCATGTGACCACTTGAACAACAAGTGGTCATAGATGAATTAGCAAGGCACATATATATGTGTCTCCTTAAGTTTTGACATTATAAACTGTCCTGTCCTGCCTAAATGAACCAAGAAAAGCTAAATAATAGATCTATCCCTGTTTTGTGTAACCAAACTTGGCATTAATGTATCACATTGTACATCTATTGTTTACCAATCAATAATGCAAGATGTAAAGTTTTCTTCAAGGTAGGCAATGACACTCTGTCATTCATTAAGTTGAGAGGTGGACTTCCTTAAGATGAAACTCCCATTGCTGGGCTTCCTTGACTTACTTCTGAGAGCTGGTATTTTTCACCCACCTCCAAAGCACAGGCAGACACACACTAACTTGAGTTAAACTCACAGCCAGTTGTTGGCTTATTTGAACAACGGCTCATGTCATCCGAGAGATGTATAGGAGAGGGAGGAGGCTTGATGTGATTTGCTTAGATATATCTTTACCAGTCCTTCTCGGAGCATCTATATCATTCTCCCACTGGATGAAGACCTCAAGGGGCTCATCTAGATGTCTTTCTGTTGGCTTCTGAATCATGCTAGGTTGCAGTAGAATTCAGCCACTACCACTCTTGCTTTTGCACATGTCCAGTGTTGCTGTTGCTTGGCTTACTCACTAATTCAGCTAAGTCAGAAAGAATGTGTTATCTCTGAGGCTGCACATCATAAGCACTACATCCAGCATAGCAGGAATGCTCTGGCCAGCAGACCACAGAAAAGAAAACTGCTTTAATTGTTTCATGCCATTCCTGTTTGCCTGGAAAGTAAGAGACTTTTTTTTTCCTAATTGCTATGGGGAAGTTAAACTTTATGGAAGTGTATTTGCATGCACTTGCAAATATGCATACTGCCAGTATATTTGCCTGTAAAAAAAGCATGTAAATGCAAAGTTGTGTGCAGGTGTGAGAATTGCTGTGCTTCAAACATAGGTGCTGGCAGTGCTTAGAAGCTGTACGAAGATTGTCAGTAAAATGTTGGTGTGAGTTGTTTTGCTGAGGTTGTGTGTTCCCTCTGTTCATGCTCCTGTGTGCCCTGCTGATGTCTAGTTTTAGGATTTAATAGATGAAATGAATCCTCATTTTAAAAATTTTTGAAAAATCTATATCAATAGAACACTGGAACTTATTCAGAGTGTATATATTGTGCTCAATGATGTTCAACAAATCAGCATGGTAATTTTTGAAAAACCTTTCAGTGTTTGTTTGGACTGAGTTTTGTCTCTTCCTTGGCTGTAATGCTAATAGAAAAAATATGAAAAAAATAGTTCTTTGTCCTATATGTTAGATCTATGAATTCAGAATAAGAATGAAATGCTATTTCAATTAAAGCTGCCTGAGATTTTTATTCTGTTTTTTTTTCCCTGATAGGGTCTTTTGTCAATCTTTCAGCAAATAGCTGGTCAGTAGCAATCAGCATGGACTGCTATCCCAACTGAAATGAAAAAATGAGGAAGTCAGGGACTAATGTCAAGTGCTTTGTTTCCTGAGATGCTCAAAATGTTTTAAACTTTGTTCTGATTTTAATAATTTCATGTTTTGTTTCACTATAATTTTATCTTCTGAGTTGGGCATATGTCTAGTTTTCAAATTTTTATTGTTTATTACTTTAGCAGTTTTTACTGAAACATAAGAAGAACTTACTATATATGAATTAATAATATGAATCATGAGTGTCCATCTTTGTGTCTCCACTAATTGTAAGTCTATTGACTTACAAACACTCATGCCACTATAAAAGGAAGAGAATTCAGAGATTTGGGGAGGAATCATTCTAATGTGGTATGACACTTTTCATAGTGAAGGCTACATTTCCCCCTCTTTGAGTAGCATGTTAATGACAAAAGAAATGGCGACAAGACAAAGAAATGGACACATCCAAGACAAAAACTAAAGTTAATTCATTTAAATTATATTACATAAAATTCACAAAAGACAATAGGATTATATTCTATGTATCACATGTTTTGACTTTTTCATACAATAGAAATTATAGTTTGGTACAGCTTCTTCAGGAACTCTGGCTGCTGTTCCCAAGCTTTCCAAAAACTATGTTTAGGAATGCTGAGGCTGAAGACTAGGTAACCTCATTCTACAATGTGTGTGTGGGGGGGTTCCATTTGTTTTATATCCCACCCTGTCCTTCTATTCCTCCTCTTCTCTCTCCTATTTTCCCTCTCACACAAAATCTTATCAAGCAGAGCTGGCCCCAGCCACTCCAGAGAATGACATTATTACACAATGCCATTCCCAGGGGCTATTTTTCAGCAGGATTAGGAAGATGTCTTCTCTGCAAAAACTGCTGATTTCAGCCTAGTGCCTATTGCAAAACCCCCAGAGGCTTCTCAAGAGATGATGATGATGATGATGATAGCTGAAATTACATTTCCTCTCTTGTCCTTTTCAGGATGTCTTTGAAAACAAACCCTCAGTGCCAGAGTACAAAGTGGCCTATGTACAGAAGTCCCGCTTCATCCTTCTTCACTATAGCATCTTCAAAGCCCTGTGGGACTGGCTCATCCTCCTGGCTACTTTCTATGTGGCAGTAACTGTTCCCTACAATGTCTGCTTCACTGACGCTGAGGACAGCTTAACAGCTGCCCGCAGCACCATCGTCAGTGACATTGTAGTGGAGATGCTTTTCATTGTTGGTAAGGATTTAAGACTGGGTTGGGGGGAGTCAAATATATATTAACAATGGAATGAAAGGATACATCTGAGCAGATATTTGAAATGGGCATCAACATTCCTAGAACAGAGATCAAATCATGTAGTATTCTTTATTTCTAGAACATTCTTCAATAACTCCCATAATTAGCTCCCATAATTCTCCCAACCCACTGGGTATGGGAATTCTGAGCGTTGTAGTCTTAATTTTGCTTAATGTTGCTGAGTTTGAGAAACACTGTTCTAGAATAAGAAACAGTCAGCTCCCAGCAGTGGATCAAAACAAGCTTTTTGAGGCATGTCAAAGGCTACTGTGCTTTTCAAAAATGGAGAGGGACAGAATCTCTTTTGGAAATCTGGATGCAGAGATTGTAAAGGTTCAAATGGATGCCTTAAGCATTTTCAAGACTTAAGACAATTATATTGCCTCTAAAAGCGATCGAACCTGAGGAATAAAAAAGAGCCCTACATTTTTCATCTGGCGTGTTTCTTTTTTTCAGACACAAAAGAGATAATGGCAGACTTCATTTTGACTCAGAGCCATACTTTTTAACCATCCTGCATCTGCTCTGTACAGTAATGCTGGATAAAATATAATAGAAAAACAAAATTGGTAATTGAGTAATTATTACCTTTTTAATAATAGTAGTTAGATCATTAAATTGTGCAGTATTCTCTGATCAGAACAATACTGTTATTATCAAATGTTAAGTGTCTAGCACAGCCTTGTACCAGCCCTATACCTACATTGTAATGGAATATACAATGTTTGACCACTGACTAATGCTTTTAAGTATTACCCCAAACAGCCAGGATGTCCCTATATAGAATATGAGTGTTGGACTTAGTGAGGCTTTTATTTTAGAGAATCTTCAAACTTTCACAATTCTCCATGTTTTCAGTATTTTCTACCTCATAGAGAATTAAACGTATGTTAAACAAATTTCAATATGCCAATAATAGAATTCTAATATTCCAAAGATATATATCTGTGATTCCTAGAAACCGAAACACAATCTCCATCTTCTACTGCTTATGAGTTTCCTAGACCAAGTTGGGCAATGCGGTAGAACAGCCATAAGATCCTGGGCAAAATGCAATTAATATAAAAAGCTACCCCGAAAGCACTTTGTGGTATTGAATCTACACAGCCCTATGTACTCCTATTCTGCATATCAAATGTCCCTTCCTGTAGAACATGCTGTTATGCAGAATTGATACTGGCTAATGTCTAAGCGCCCTCTTTTCTTTTTTGACAGATATTATTTTGAATTTTCGGACCACATATGTTAGTGAATCAGGCCAGGTGGTTTATAATAAGCGTTCAATTTGCCTCCACTATGTGGCGACATGGTTCTTCGTGGACTTAATCGCAGCCTTGCCCTTTGACCTCCTCTATGCCTTCAATGTTCCAGTGGTGAGTAATGCTTTACATCTGCTCCTGGCAATGAGCAAAAGCACTCCATAAGAAAGGTCACAGTCAAATGATGAATTTCCAAAAAGAGAAGCCCATTCAGAGGCACCAGCTTTTAAGCTACATGGCCAAGCAGATGCTTTATAATTGTACAAGGTCAAAGATGTTATTCCTGTAAAGTGGCCTTCACATGATAAGGTGCCAAAATAATGGTAAATACCAATATCTTCTCTGCTAAACTAAATATATAAGGAAGGGTGGATCAATATCTAGTAAGTCCTTTTTTATGTTTTATATTTTTATTAAAATTTGTTATGAGATAAAATTTTATTGATGAGACTTATATACCGCTTTTAAGTGCAAGCACTCTCTAAGCGGTGTACACCAGTAAGCAATGTATATATATATTTACATTGCCCCCAACAATCTGGGTCCTCATTTTACCTACCCCAGAAGGATGGAAGGCTGAGTCAACCTTGAGCCGGTGAGATGCAAATAAAAAAATCAGGAAAGATAAAGAAGAAAGAAAAGAGGACAAAGAAAAAGAAAGAAAGAAGAACGTGGTGACTTCCAACTTTTTTCAATGCAGTAGAATTAAAAAAAAAGTTACAATCTCAATCTTTTGCTTTACATTTCTATCTATTTCAACCCATTTCTATAAACAACAAAGTCAATGTAGTCATCATAACCTAAAATTAAAGTGTCATTATTTTTCAAGTTCAAGCACAAAGTCCAGAGATGGTTTCCCAATAGAAACAAAATTAGATGGATTCTTCTCTTTAATTAAAATAGTCAATTTTGCCCTCTTTGCCAATTCCATTACCTTTACCATCCATTCTTCTGTTGTGTGAATTAGTGTGTCTAATATCTAGTAAGCCATGAGTAAAAGAAAATCCATGGAACATGTTAAAGGCTTCAACAGTAGTAAACACACTGTACTTACAGACATTAATTGCAATGCTCTTGAAGAACAGATCATGTTATTAGCTCTTACCACAGGGATAATCTGCAGCCAAGCAGCTGCTCTCACTCAGGTGTTTTTTCAGTTTGCCAGCCAAGTTTTTATTTTAGTGCATTCCACTTCATTCATTCTTCTCCTCCACCATTCAGCCCACTGCATTTCATACTCATTGGGCATATTCTCCCCTCACTGGAAACAATAGCTTTTTGTTTGTCCTTCCACAATAGGTTTCATGTCCCCTTTAGAAAGAGATTATTCAGAAGATCTCTGTGCCCCCTGAATTTACCAACACATTCTTTTTAATATGATAAATTGACTATGTCAAAACTCAGTTGAAAAATCAGTTAATCATTAGTTTATGTGACAGATAAGTCTATATTTTAAAGACTCATAAATAAGGCTAGTATATATGGAAGTGAGGTTCTGGGGGAGGTGCATCTCTTATACATCAGCTATTTTGCTATTAGAAGTAGCTGAAAAATCTATTTCCATTAAGGCGAAGGTAAAGCCTTACCACCAACTCAGGTGTGGAGAAAAATGACCTAAACCTCTCAACATCTTGCCAGAGCTGAATTTGCTTAGACAGACATGATGCACAAAGGGCCTGCTGAAAGTCTCTCACCTCTGCAGAGATGAGAGATGGTAGTCTTTTCTGGAATGGCACCCACTTTATGGAATACTGTCTGTCAGGAACTTTTATTTCACTGTTCCTTCAGTAACAGCTGCCTGCTCATGCCTACCTTATAATTTAATAAGGGCTTTATCCTTGCTTTTTCGTAATTATGTTTTAGGTTTGGTATAGATTTGGGCTCCTCCTTCTCCTCTCATTTGATGTTATTGTTCTGCCCCAAGTCCACTGGGTTTGGGATAGATTACTGTGAAAGAAAATAAAATAAAAATTGTCGCATGAAGTTATCCTATTGGAAAGAGTAATTACTACTCTTGCAAAATCCCAGACCTCCAGCTTAGATTTTAACTATGCAGCCCTCTCTTTTCTAATACCCGCTCGACCTAAAGATCTGTCCCACTTTAGGTGATTTTGCTTTCAGGGGAAATGTTGAGGCTGAGGCTTTTTATACTAACTCAGCACATTATCTGAACAAGAAGTGGACTTACTTTGATCATAGTGTGCTTTATGAATAAGCACATGTACATAATTGGACATAAGATGTAAACTTGATTCTTGAAATGAGATTCAAGTGATAATGAATGGCTCACCCTCATGCCCACTTTTTCAGAAAACTTCAATCTTCCTGCTGACCCATTTTATTTTGTTAAGGGACAATTATTGTTTCATGCACACTAAACTAGTCAGCTTTTAGCTCAACATTTTTCTGCATCATTGAATTCCTCTGAAGTGTTCATATTTCCTTCTTGTTCACAAGTGCAGCTGTCTGGGTTACAGAATGATTAGTACTCAGGAGAATAAATCATTGTCTATATGTTGTATGTAGCCATCTACTTGTTTCACTTGTTTCTATCTGTGAAATATAGTGAGTTTTGGGCACATATCAAAGAATGTGTTAAAGTGTTTTTTTTTTTAATTTCTCAAGAACCAGTCAGCAAATTGGCATTGTCTTCTTTAATAATATATCTATACCATGATTGCAGCCTAAGTTTTGTATGTTCCTCAAAGCCCGGAAAAAAATCAGAGAATTTGAGCATTTTGAAACTCAGCATTGAACTGACAAGATGTTTCCAGCTGGATATCAGAGCAGCTCTAGACATTGTTCTGATTCCAGCTGAACTCCATTTAGAGTCTTTTCTTCTGGCAAATCCCACATCTCCTAGCTCCTTCTTTTTCTTGCCTTTCATCTCTTTTTGGGGTTCTCATTAGGTGGGCATGTTGAGGTGTGCATGCCATTAGGACCAAGCACTTGAAGCCTTCAATACAACCTCTTGGCTAATGAGATTGCTGGGTAACCTTACAACACAGAGGACAAAAGAGGATCAGTAATGTCCAGTATCTTACTCTCCAATCATGGCTTATCAGTTTTACCTTGTCTTTCAGATGACGGTGACCTGGCTTTAGTCCAGTGGTACCATTTGTGCTACACCACTAGGAAGAGCTGTGAGGGCCATGGTCCAGAATTAAACTCATCATGCCCACCCACCCCTGAGAAGAGCTTGGGGCATCCTAAAATGAAATTGAGTTGGAAATTGTAAAAAGTGGCATTTGGATCCCACAAGTCAATGATTTCTTAGACAGGCAATAAATTATGGTTTAAAAATATAGTAGCTGAGTTTACACATCAACCCAAAATCACCACATTAATGTTTAATCTTATGCATGAACTTTGCGGTTACTGACTTGTGACCACTTCTTCAGCTTTGTGACCAGGTGGAGTTTTGGCTAAATGTTCTAGTACAGAAGTAGGCAACCTCAGCTCTTTTATGACTCGTGGACTTCAACTCCTAGAATCCTGAGCCAGCCATGCTGACTCAGGTATTCTGGGAGTTGAAGTCCACGAGTCATAAAAGAGCCAAGGTTGCCTACCCCTGGTCTAGTGGCTTGTTCCTTTATGTCAATCTGTTTTTCTCTTCCTGCTTTTCCCAGACATACCTGGTACACCTGTTAAAGACTGTTCGTCTCCTGCGCTTGCTCCGCTTGCTCCAGAAACTCGACCGCTATTCCCAGTACAGTGCCATGGTCCTAACCTTACTCATGTCAATGTTTGCCCTGCTAGCTCACTGGATGGCTTGCATCTGGTATGTCATCGGCCGGCAGGAGAGCAACGACCCTGTGACCTGGGACATTGGTGAGCTTAGGGTATGACTGGGAAGCCCTTGTCATACAAATCCTGTGTGCATTGCACTAAACAGAATCAGATACATCTCTTCGCCGAATTCATAGCCAGGACCGTCAGTATTTCAGCAAGATAGAATCTAAACTTTTGAAAGAGTTTGAATGAAACGCAACATTTTTAGGGCACTGGGTTGAAACCACCTTTGCCAAGTTTTTGCCAAACTGTGGCAACCTAGTTGCACAAGTATCCAACTTAATTTGATTTAATCTAGGGAAAAGCAGCTTTGGAGCATAAGAACATTAATGTCAGCAACATCAACAATACTTCATGCTCGCACATAGACTCCCATGAATAGTGATGCAACTTTTATTATTATTTATTTATTTACAGTCAAAAGGACCCAAATTACAAACATAATCTAAACTTGACATTGAATAACAAGTAAAATATTTAATAAATAATATATTATACACTTAAAACCCCAGGTCATTAATTTGTTACTAATACCATGTTTTTATAGTCAACGATCTGTTGATGCTGTAATCTTAGGATTACAGAGAGCCATTTGGGTATAATGGTTGAAATGCTGGCCTAGAAACCAGGAGGCTGTGAGTTCTAGTCCCGCTTCAGCATGAAAACTGACTGGATGACTTTGGGCCAGTCAGTCACTCTCTGTCTAACCTACTTCACAGGGTTGTTGTTGTGGGGAAAATGGGAGAAGGAAGGAGTATTATGCAAGTTCACCACCAAGATACTTAAAAAGTAATAAAGTGCTTTTAAAGATATAATAAGTAAATATATTTTAATCTGCAAGTGATTTTTTAAAATATATTCCTGGTTTAAATATTAAACAGGACAGATAGTTTCCTGCTGAAGACTCTTAAAAATTTACAATACAATAAAAATATGACCCATCATTTCATGATCAGCAACATTATAGGGATAAAATCTTTGAGAGATGGGAATTTTTTTAACTATATAACTATATCTACCATATAGCTTACTATACACTGAGTAACATGGGACTTTGCATGGTGTATGTCAAAATCTGCCACATGCCAAGCTTCTTCTTATGATGAAAGTCCTATCCATTTTGATCAACTGAAATATGGAATTAAAAAAATGATTGATGATCTAGCATTTAACTTGCTATTCTGCTTTGACAAGAAAATTGTTTAGGCAGAACTCTGAGACTTTCATCCTCTGAATCTCAAGTTCTAAGGTGCCTTATTATACTTAGTATAACTTTTGGATGTGTTCACATGTTGACTTTATCAATATGGTTTGTTTAGCTTATCATGTTGTATGAATGCAAATAATTTTTATTTTTCTAACAAGCCACAACCAAGTGAATCATGGCCTGGTATATGTAAAGCTAGTTATTGTAGGTAATTCTACAAACCATGGTAAAAAATAAACCAGAATTTAAAACAGAAGCTTTCTTTGATGATGTCAACAAAAATAAATTAAAATATTATGTTAAGGTAAAGCCAAACAAATTATATTTCAATTTTAAAAATGATACTAGCTATACAATCTCTGAACTCTTGTCTACCCAAGAGGATTAACCTTTCATTGTGCCCAGCAGGCTGGCTCCATGAATTGGGCAAACGAATTGAGGCCCCCTATGTCAACATCTCTGTGGGTGGACCATCCATCCGCAGTGCTTACATTGCCTCCCTGTACTTCACCCTCAGCAGCCTGACCAGTGTAGGCTTTGGCAATGTCTGCGCCAACACAGATGCTGAGAAAATCTTTTCTATCTGCACCATGCTTATTGGTGGTAAGTACATCCTGTGTATGTAAATATTTTTCTTCTCTTATGGTCTAGTACAGGGTATCAAACTGCCGGCCTATGGGCTGGATGCATCATCCAGAAGCCACGCCCACCCCATTGCCGACAATGGCAAAACCATCCCGATATGTTGCGTGACATCATGTGATGTCACAAGTTTGACATGTCTGCTCTAATAGGAGAAAAATTGGCACTGGCACCTAAAACCATCTTTCCCAACTTAGATGTTTAGACTACAACTTCCAAAGTCTCAGATATGATTCCAACTATGCAAGAGCAGTTGTGGAAAAAAAAGACAATGAGAAAGGGAAGCTCTGTTAAGTTACATCAGTGTTTCTCAACCTTGACAATTTTAAGGCATGTGGACTTCAACTCCCAGAATTCCACAGCCAGCATTGCTGGCTGTGGAATTCTGGAAGTTGAAGTCCACATGCCTTAAAATTGTCAAGGTTGAGAAACACTGAGTTACATCATAGTCCTGCATCTAAATGATTAAATTAAGCCTCTGTAATCCAAAACATTCTACAGGTAGTCCTCAACTTACAACAGTTCATTTAGTGACTTTCAAAGTTACAGTAGCAGTAAAAAAAAGTGACTGATGACTGTTTTTCACACTTACAACCATTGTAGCATCCCCATGGCCACATGATCAAAATTTGGATGCTTGGCCACTGACTCATATTTATGATGGTTGCAGTATCCGAGGGTGACGTGATCATCTTTTGCAACCTTCTTAGAAGCAAAGTTAATGGGGAAGCCAGATTCACTTAACAACCATGTTACTAATTTAATAACCACAGTGATCCACTTAACAACTGTGGCAACAAAAGTCATAAAGTGGGGCAAAATTCACTTAATAAATGTTTCACTTAGCAGCAGAAATTTTGGGCTCAATTGTAATCCATATTAGCAAAGAGAAAAGAAGAGAGAGAGAGAGAGAGAGAGAGAGAGAGAGAGAGAGAGAAAATAAGGAAGGGCTATTCCTTTCATGCCAGGTTTCCTTGAAGCAGCTCTTGTAACTGTTGAAAGCAGCTCCTATTAGAAGTGTCATTCACTAATCCAAAGAAATGCTTGTCCTCATTTTTCCTCTTTGCTTCAGCTCTGATGCATGCCGTGGTCTTTGGCAATGTGACAGCCATCATACAACGCATGTACTCACGGCGCTCCCTGTATCATACCCGCATGAAGGATCTCAAGGATTTCATCCGTGTCCACCGCCTGCCCCAGCAGCTCAAGCAGCGTATGCTGGAATACTTTCAGACCACATGGTCTGTCAACAATGGCATTGATGCAAATGAGGTGGGTCAACTCATTCCCTTAATTTCCTAGAGGGAGATTGGGAGGGAACATTGTCTAATGGCTAAAGAGGACAGCATGAATTCAAGAGGCCTGAATTTGTCATCTGTTTATTTGCAAGAAGGAGCAGGCTTTACAATTTCAAATATCAAGCCAGTGTAATAGCTCTTGACAGATTGGAAGAGTCCATAATTGTGAAATCTTTAGGAATATAAAAGATTGCTATTGAAACGATACAAATTCAGAGAAAAGCACTACTTATCTTGTGCATCACTGGTTTATTTTAATATAGCTTGCGCAAAAATAACATTTCCACATCAGCACATCAATCTTAGCCTCTTTTAATGTGTCCAGACTCTAGTATCAATTCGCATTATAGTAACTCTGAAACAAATCTTGGCTTTTACAAAATGTCTGAGGTAAGCATAATTTAAACAAAGCCCTAATTTTGGAAACATGAGAGATAAAATAAAAGCAGAGGACAAAATTAAAGATATAATGTAGATTCTAATTTTGCTTACAGTAATGTTTCTCAGCCTTGGTAGTCGATGTGTGGATTTCAGCTTCCAGAATTCCCTAGCCAGCATGCAGGCTGGACATCTAGGACAGGGGTGACAAACTGCTGGCCCATGGGGTGGCTGCGTCATGGAAAAACCACACCCACCCTATTGCCAGCAATGGGAAAAAAATCCGTGATATGTCACGACATGTCATGTGACATTGCGAGTTTGACACCCCTGTTCTTGGAGTTGAAATTCATGCATCGTCAAACTGCCAAGAATGAGAAACATTGGCTTAGAGCAATAGTAGTAGAGGAAGAAATGTTGCATGTTTTTTCCTGGAGTAAAAGCATCTTTTGAGAGATGGATTTTAGATCAGAAAAACAGCAAAAAGAATTAAAGGGTTTTCTTCCAGAGTAGTTGTTTGCACACCTGTTCAGAGTTCTTTTTTTTTTTTTTTGAGGAGTCAAGAGTTCCCAAATTCTTTGCCCTTACCCTTCCAAGTCTCTTCTAATCAAAATCTAATCATTCCTGCTTCACATCTCTTTTAAAGAGATTTTCAAGATAAAGAGATGAATGGATGACATGTTATTCTCTTCTTGGCTTCAGAAATTTAATCTATTTGCCCCAAGTTTTACTGTCATTTTTTTAATGATGAATTATTAGACTTTCAACAATTATACCCCACCCACATTTTTCCAGCTCCCATTTTTTGGATTCTGGACTACAGCATATTTTTACATTTCTTAGACTTTTCTCCCTGAGTTTTCATCAACCCCACACAAGAGAGAATAAAATCAGCTGCTCCTTATTCATTTATTTAAAACACTTTCATTCCCATCTGAAATATGAAAAATGGATTAAAGGCAAATATTTTTAAAAAAGCTCCCTCTCTGTATAAAAGGAAGATGATGGTGGAAGTAAATGAAAAATAGAACCCATCAAGCTTAAGAACAAGTTCTTAAAGAATAACAATGATTTGTGTATCAGATTTTCTCACCCAATGCACGTTTGTTCAACTCTTAGCAATGGCCACATAGGAAGGGAAAGGGAAGAGTTTTTTTTTTTGTATTACCGGTAATTTTTTTTTATTTTTTCCATTTATACATTATAAAAATTACAATACAATTTTGAAATAAAATAAATTCATAACCATTGGTGTGACCTGCCCACTCCCCCCAGGCTGCGTCCACCCTCTCTTAAAACGTTCCCTACTTCCCTCCTCTTTCTCACCTCCCATCCTACTCTCTTCCCCTCCCCCTCTCCTCTCACTGCCCTACTTCCTCTCTACACCTTCTCTCCTCTCATCCCTATCAGACCCATGAATGCAGCATAAGGGGAGTGCCCAGGCCACACCCCTATAAGCAACCATTATCTATATTAGACTTGCCCCCCACTTTTCCTTCCTCCCACCCCCAACCCCCCTCCCTTCACTTCCCAGAGCAGAATATAGGGTTAATAATAAGAAAATTTATAATAATAAAAAAAGAAAGAAAAAGAAAAAAAGGAAAAAGAAGAGAAAAAAGAAAATATCATACTTAACCTTTAACTCCAATAACCTCTAAAACAATTATCTATAATATTTACTATAATATTCATTCATAAAATAAATGAAACTTTTTAGTTCCATACTTTTTCTGACTATAATCTATCCATCTTCTCCATACAGTAATATATCTTTCTTGTGTATGATCCTTTAAATAAGCAGAAATTTTTGCCATTTCTGCAAAACTAGATAGTTTAAATATCCATTCTTCTAAAGTAGGCAAAGAATCTTTCTTCCAGTATAAACCTACTAATAGCCTTGCTGCAGTTAATAAGTTCAACATCAAAATAGTTTCTTTATCATTTAAGTCCACGAAAATACCCAATAAAAATAGTTGAGGAGTAAACTTTATCTTCCTTCTAAAAATCTTTTGAATGTTCCACCAAATCATAATCCAAAAAACCTTTACCTTTTTGCAATTCTACCAAATATGGAAATATGTCGCATCTTTATTACCACACCTCCAACATTTGGGCTGTATATTAGGGTACATACAAGATAATTTTTTAGGATTTAAATGCCATCTATAGAACATTTTATAAAAATTTTCTCTCAAATTTTGAGCTTGTGTAAATTTAACATTTCTAATCCAAATTGTCTCCCATAAGTCCAATGAAATCGGTTCCTGTATATTCTGAGCCCATTTAATCATACAGTCTTTAACCAATTCTGTTTCCGAGTCTAACTCTAATAAAACATTATAAATTCTTTTTATATGAGCCTGACTCTGATTTTTAATCTGAATAACCAATTGTTTATCTTCTAATGTTATTCCCTCTTTCTTATCCACAGTCCATCTATCCACTATTTGTAGGTATTGAAATCATGACTGTAGAATATTTTCTTGCCTTAGTACATCTAGGGATTTGAAATGCCAATTCGAACCAGACCAAATTAACAATTCTTTATACGAGATTTTATCAAAATTTGTCCCTTTGGAAGTTCCCTCAATTGCATGTCTGGGAATCCCCCAGATAGATATTTTATAATTTAATCTATAATAATACTTTTTCCAAACACGAAGTAGGGCATTCCTCAAAATATGTGATTTAAAAGTCCGATCGACTTTCTTATTGAAAATCAGGTATGCATGCCAACCATATATTAAATCCCAACCTTCCAAAAAAAGAGTATCCTTATTTGTTAAATTAAGCCAGTCACTTAACCAAGTTAAGGCGACTGCATCATAATATAATTTCAAGTTAGGTGCCTTAAGTCCTCCTCTTTCTCGAGCATCCTGTAAGATCTTAAACTTAACCCTTGGTTTCTTCCCAGCCCATATAAAATTGTTAATGCCCTTTTGCCATTCATACAAATTTGCCTCTTTTTTAAAAATAGGTATCATCTGAAACAAAAAAAGGAACTTTGGTAGAACGTTCATTTTTACAGCTGAAATTCTCCCCAACAATGACAATTGCAATTTTTTCCAATCTTTTAAGTCCTTTTGTACTTTTACCCATAATGGTTCATAATTGTTCTTATACAATTTTCCATTTAAAGCAGTTAAGTATACTCCCAAATATTTAACCTTTTTTACCATCTGGAAACCTGTAGCTTTAACCAAATTTTCCTTATCCTTAACTGACATATTCTTAGATAATATCTTAAGTCTTATAATTATTGACTTTAAAACCAGAAACATTCCCATACTGTGTTATAAGTTCTAGTAAACAATCAATCGCTTGATTCGGTTGTTCCAAAATTAAAACCAAACCATCTGCAAAAGCCCACAATTTGTACTCATTCTTCCTTATCTTTACACCCTTGACTACCTTTGATTCTCGAATCTGAATCAATAAAATTTCCAACGTTAAAACAAATAACAATGGGGATAATGGACATCTTTGTCTTGTCCCTTTTTCAATATTAAAATTCTCAGTCAATCCCCCATTTACAACAATTTGTGAAGATTGTTGCTGGTGTATAGCTTTAAGTGCATGTAAAAAATTATCCCCAAAATTCATTTTCTCTACCAATGAGAATAAAAATTGCCAATCTAATTGATCAAAGGCTTTTTCAGCATCCAGAAAAATGAAAGCCACAGGAATCTGGTTGTTCTTATCCAAATACTCAATTATATTTATAATTTGTCTAACATTGTATTTCATGTATCGCCCTGTTATAAATCCTGCTTGATCGCTATGAATCAAGCCCTTCATAACCTGCATTAATCTATTTGCCAAAATTTTTGCAAAAATCTTATAATCAACATTTAATAATGAAATTGGCCTATAATTCTTAGGCTCTGTGAGATCCTGATCCTCCTTCGGAATCAGTGATATAAAAGCTCTTTTCCAAGAAGGAGGAACTTGTGTACCCAACAAAATACTATTAAAAAGTTCCTTTAATGGCCCTATCATTTCTTCAGATAAAGTCTTGTAATACCTCGAAGTCAGTCCATCTGTTCCCGGAGACTTTCCAACCTTTAACTGCTTAATAGCTAAACCAATTTCCTCCACAGTAATTAAACAATACATCCCATTTCGTTGTTCCTCAGAAAGTTTAGGAAAATGCACTGATTGTAAATATTTATCTATATCCAAGCCCTTTATATTATCACTTGAATATAATTTTGTGTAAAAATCTAAAAAAACTCTTTTTAATCAAATTTTGCTGAAAAACCTCAGTACCTTTGTATTTTACTTTCTCTATAATTCTAGCTTTCTGTTTCTTTCGTAACTGATAAGCCAACCACCTCCCAGGCTTATTCGCATTACAAAAAGTATTATGTCTCATATACGACAGATTGGTAGCCACCTGATCTGCCATCAGCATATTAAATTGTTCCTTGAGCATCTTTATAGATACCTTTACGTTATTATCAGTTGGATTAAGAACAAACTCTTGTTCTTTTAATTTAATCTCTTCTTCTATTTCTCTGCATCTTTGTAACCCTTTTTCCCTAAAAACTTTATTCAATTGAATCAAAATTCCCCTCATATATGCCTTATTGGCATCCCAAACCATGGACATCGATATACCCTTATTCATATTTATAGCAAAAAACTCCTTTAAATGCTCTTTACATTTATGTACAAACTCTTCCCGAGTAAACAAATTCTCATTCAGTCTCCAGGGTCTTCTATTCCCATCTTCCAAATGTAGTTCCATCCACACCGGACTGTGATCTGACAAAGTCCTGGGGAAAATTTTCACCTTCCTCACTCTAGAAAGGAAATCACTAGTAATCAAAAAAAAGTCAATCCTTGAAAATGACTGATGTCTATCCGAATAAAAAGTAAAATCTCTATCACTTATATTCCTTTCTCGCCAAATGTCAATGAGCTCCAATTCTTCTTTCAAATTAAAAAATTTTTTAGGTAATTTGGTTTGGGTAAAAGTTTTAGAAGAGCTCCTTTTATCTATAGTTGAATCTAAAACCCTATTCCAATCACCCATCAAAATTACCGATTTGTAATCCAACTGGGATATCTTGCCATGCAAAAACTTGTAAAATTGTTTCTGTTGTTGATTGGGAGCACATAGTCCAACAATAAGAACTTTTTTGCCTTGTAATGATAGTTCCACAAAGAGATATCTTCCTTCAGAATCAGTCTCAATTAATTTAGATGAAAAATTTTTCTTCACATAAATTACCACACCCCCTTTTTTCCCTGGAGCTGGAGCAATAAAATGTGAACCCAAGCGAGGATTCATCAAAAATTTAGAGTCCTTCAGTGTTATATGAGTCTCTTGCAGACATATCAAATCATTGTTATGTTGTTTCAAATAATGAAAAACATTTCTTCGTTTCTGTGGCACATTTAGGCCATTAACATTCCAGGTCAGAAACCTGGCCATCTCCACCGGCCTGGAGCCTCTGGAGCATGCCTGCAGATCAACTGTCGAAGATCTTTTTGGTCTTTCCCCTCCCACAGGCTCTGTAGTAACCATACCTTCAACTTTATCACCACTCTTCTGCTGCTGCTCTTTTTCTTTACGTTTATGGGCAGCTCGTGTCATCTTTTACTCTTTTATCTCAAGATTCTGTACAGGTTGTTCCATGACCATCATTGATGAGGCTCCTGCCACAACAGGCTCTTCCATTAACCTTGTTTGTGGGGGTGACGACGATCTTGCCTTTAAGATAGAATGATGAAAATCTCTTGCCTTTGAAACTGTGGTTAATCTATGACGTATCCCATCATAATTCACTACTATTCCTCTTGGAATCTCCCATCTAAACTGAATTTGATGATGTTTTAACTCATCAGACAGAAAAGTAAAGTCTTTTCTGCCTCTTAAAATTTTGGGAGGTATTTCTTTTAGAATTATCACATCTTGATCTGCAATTTGAAACTTTTGTTTATAAAAAGCCTGTATAATTTCATTACGAATAAATCTTCTGGAAAAATAGATGACCACATCTCTTGGTAAATTTCTCTGTCTAGCAACCCGTGAGTTAACTCTAAAAAATTTTCCTATCTCATTCCCAATTATTTCAGGCCTCCAGCCAAGATTAAGAGCAATATCTTTCACAATAAGCATCTTTAAGTCCTCCTGAAGATTTTCTCTCAACCCCCTGATACACAATGCATATTCCATCTCTCTATATTGTGAAATAATTTGTTCATCCTGTGTAATTTCTATCTTGTTCTCCACCTCCTCCATTCTGGATTCCAATCTTGTTGCATTTTCAGTAATCTCCTCCATTCTGTCGTCAATCCTTTCTATATGCAGAGCAAGGCCCTGAAAAGCCAAAAGGATATCTTCCCTAACTTGCTTGTTTTTTTTCTCCAATAATTCTTCTGTAATAGCCCTCTCTGCAGTTATAAGATCTTTTACTTCCTCCTTAATATCCAAAGCATGCTTTTTTAAAGGTTCTTGTAAATCTTTAAGAGAAATTGCAGGAGGAGAGGGTGGAGGTGATTTTGGTTTCTGAGAAACAGTCTGAGTCATTGGGGAAGAGATAGTGGCTTTAAGAGCAGGAAGCAGGCGTTTTGAAGCCATTTTCTTAAATTCCAAGAAGAAAGATTCTTGTCTTTAAAAAAATCACAGTTCTTTTGAATGTTCTTTAAAAAAATAACAAGGAAAGAAGAAAGGAAAAAATAAAAGCCAAGTTCTTGCTTCTATATTTAAAACATTAATCTGTATCCAGGTTTTAACTTTATAACGCAAATCAAAGAAGAAAGACAATCGCCATTTTGCCTTTCACTTTCCCTTTCTTCAAAAGGGAGAGTGAACAATAAAAAAAAAGAAGAGGGTACTTGCTGGAGTTAAAGACACCATCAATCTTAAGCGCAATTTCTCCTGGTCTGCTCCATCTGCTTTTAAGTACTCACAAGCGGCTAAAATAAGCAGATGTGGAAGCAGCAGCTTGCTTCATCCCAGAACTTCGGGACGAAGGCTTCCTGGAACGCGGAGATGCTCAGGCTCCGAGGGAGCTCTACCCTCTGATCCCCAAAATTGTAGGGATGCAGGAGAGCTCTTTACCTGAGAGCTTTCCTCCTCCCTTTTTCCCAGGGAGGAGATTCAAGCCATGGGACAGCTGATTGTCAAAGTCCCGCGGCTTTTAAACGAACCAGGAACGGGCAGCTTTGTAAAAAGCTGCCATCGTCATCGCTGAAACCACCGGAAGTCTGGGAAAGGGAAGGTTGATTTAAAATATCATCAGTTAGATATGCTTCAATGAAAGAAAGAGTCTGATCTAACTGATATTCTGAAAAGAATGATGGAATCACCTTTATCTAATTCCAGCTGAGACTACAAAATATAACAATTGTCTATCGCTCATCTCGTTGATAAATAAGTGAGTTGGCCTCAACTGATGGGAGAGAGTAGTTTAAACAGGCTGGAAGTAAAGGAAGTTAAATCTTGGCACAATGGGAAATTACAATGTAGCAGTGTTTCTCAGGCTTGGCAACTTTAAGATGTGTGGACTACAACTTCCAGAATTTCCTAACCCTCTGGCTAGGGAATTTGGGGAGTTGAAGTCCATACATCTTAAAGTTACCAAAGCTGAAAAACATTGGTGTAGCAGTAAATTTAATTGGCACCAAACTCCATACAAAAGCATCCTTCCTGCCTTTTCTCTGTAGCTCCTGCATGATTTCCCAGATGAATTACGAGCTGATATTACTATGCACTTGAACAAGGACATTCTGCAGTTGCCGTTGTTTGAGAGTGCCAGCCGTGGCTGCCTACGGGCTTTATCCCTGCACATCAAGACCTCATTCTGCGCACCCGGCGAGTATTTATTACGTCAGGGAGATGCCCTGCAAGCAAATTATTTTGTGTGCTCAGGATCCTTTGAAGTCCTCAAGGACAACATTGTGCTGGCCATTTTGGGTAAGGCCCAGGAAGAAGAGTAGGCAATACAGCATCCATTTGGGCAGGGAGTAATAGTTGCTGGGTCGGGGGACAATGGGGACTAAACAGTAGTCCAGATTTGGAGCTTGTGCTCATTTTCTTTTAGCACAAAGAAACTTTACAAAACATTTTCCAGGGGCATTTTCCTCATGACATTGCTTCCCTCTCATTGTAAATCTACTAAGTCCATTCCATTATTCCAATTTAGAAGCAGTTTCTTACTTCTTTTGATACAAAATATTCCATGTGGATTAGGGAATCTTCTACATGGAACAAAAAAAACCCCTAATACAGTCTGAGGAACCCTTCTTTCTTGTTTTTGTTTCCGGTTTTTTTCTATCTCTTTTTTGTCAAAGTGAAATTGTAATAAATATTTCTCACTAAATGCAAATACCAGATGTAAATCTGTTTAGCATAGCTGTGGAAAAAAATGGTAAGAACAGAGAAAGCAGGCAATTTAGAGTTATTATAATTATAATAAAAATCAAAAACAAAGAAAGAATAACAATACAATCCATCTTCAGCAGGCAAAAGTCTTGTCCCAAGGTCCAGACAGTGTTTGCATTTGAACTTTGTGATAAACTGTGATTTACTTAACTATGGAATGATTTAGCAAGAGTGGCCTAAGCTCACACATTCCATTAAGTCATCAATCATGATTTACATATTACGGAGGACAACCCAAAACTCTAAACGAAAATCAAGCAAATTATTTGATGGCTTTGCATAACTTGTGAGCCACTCATTCTATGACTTTGAAACATTGTTTGAGTATACAAAGGCAAAGGCAGCAATAACCCCTCTGCCTCCTATCCCATTCATACATATCCCAAACCTTAACTTTTTGTAGGTAAAGGAGATCTCATTGGTGCTGACCTGCCCAGTAAAGACCAAGTCATCAAGACCAATGCAGACGTCAAGGCACTGACCTACTGTGACCTGCAATACATCAGCCTACGTGGACTTTTTGAGGTTCTGGAGTTGTACCCTGAATATTCTGCCAAGTTCATGGCAGATATCCAGCAGGACCTCACTTTCAACTTACGTGAGGGTAGTGAGATTGAGGTAGGTAGATATGGATGACATTGCCCTGTGCCTCTAGCTCTTCATCCTGGCAGAGTGAGTCATTCTAAGTGAAGATCATTTGACTTCCGCAGGAATTTTCTTTGTCCAAGCCACTAAACTCCATGCTTCCACTCTGACAGCTCTGGAAGAGCTCTTCTATGTAATAATGGAAAGGAAGTTCTCTGCTTCCTTTACATTTTGTCTCTATCCCACAGCCTTATGCAAGTAGAACAGGAAAGGGGGATTTGATTTTATTCCATATTCTATGTGTTTACCATAATTATGCAGACCAGTGTTTCTCAGCTTTCACAACTTTGTGATATGTGGACTTCAGCTCCCAAAATTCTCCAGTTAATATTCTTGGTTGCTGTTCTCACAATTCAACAAAATGTTGGAAAGAAATTACATACAGTATATAAGCCCATTCCCTCTTGGTTATGTTATCCAGAGCAAAGGATGTATAGCCCACTCTGTTTCCTCAATTGCACAATTTATAGAGATAGACATCAGATGTAGAGAGACTAGGAACATCCACTATACATTACTTCATTACATGGAAGAAAATGCATAGTGAACCTGCTATAATCAAGGATTCCTATGTTAAGCATATCTTCTCTTCTCTTCTCTTCTCTTCTCTTCTCTTCTCTTCTCTTCTCTTCTCTTCTCTTCTCTTCTCTTCTCTTCTCTTCCTGAGACGCAATAATGCCACAGGTCTGGCATAGTTACATTTGATATTGCTGCTATATCTGAAAGTGGCCATATAGTTTATACAAATTTCACCTAATGAAAGCTGCAATGGTAGTTTTAAATTCCTGACAATCTAGGAATGAGACTTCAGGCCCTTAAGGTTTGCCATTAAGGGTTTCCAAATCAATTTGACAATTTAACTTTTGATGCAAGATCAAGGATTTTACTTACAGGAACATTTGCACATACCCAGACAAAGGCTATATCTGAACTCAGTCTAAATCTAAAATCTCAAATGTCTCATGCAGCAGGAGAATTTAGAATTCATTTCTAGGAAATACCTAAGCTCTGCATGCCATGGTCTAAAAAGACTTTTGTTGAGAGTAGAATCACTTATCTAATCAATGGGAATAGGTCTTACATAGATGGTCAGAAAATAAATTAGAGGGTTTTAAATATGGGCTAGTTCTGGGGGAGGCAACCTTGGCTCTTTTATGACTCGTGGACCTCAACTCCCAGAATTCCTGAGCTAGCATGGAATTCTGGGAGTTAAAGTCCACTAGTCATAAAAGAGCAAAGGTTGCCTACCCCTGGGCTAGTTGGAAGCATTTGGAAATATATATTCAGCTAGTTTGAAGCTATACATAAAGTAAATAGAATTGTCTTGCAGCTGCTTTCAGTATATTGATATTCCAAGTGGTGGTGCTGTGTGTTGTCCTGATGACTATCTATTCTTATCTTGACTAGCAATCTTTAATAGCTTTATTTTGCATCAAAATGTCTAGGCACAGAATTTTTAACTGTTTTCAGCTAATGAGCATATTTTGAATTTGGGAAACTTGCTATCTATGTTGCCCTTCCTTCCTTCCTTCCTTCCTTCCTTCCTTCCTTCCTTCCTTCCTTCCTTCCTTCCTTCCTTCCTTCCTTCCTTCCTTCCTTTTATAGGTCACTTACTCCACAGATTCTAGGTAGCTTTAACTGGAAATAATGAAATCCTACCAACATCAAAATAGAAAAGATGAATTACCTAATAATTCTATTAATTCTACACTTCCCCAGACAGTTATCACCAAATCTTCAGACCCTCTTCTCCCAAGGCTTGTTGGAAGAGAACATTTTGCACTGTCTTCTGAAAGGCATAGTATGCTCCCATGTACTAGCATGTACTGTCCTTACCTTAGGGAGTTATGCTATTGAAAAGGCTTCTTTCCAAGAATGCTCCCCACTAACAACTCAAGGGAACAACTCTCAAGACTACTTTCTCAGCCAGGAGAGTACAGGCAGGCAGGTTCATCTAGGACCAGCCAATCAACCAAAAGTAATCTAACCTATTTTGCTTTGCTTTATAACAGTCAGTTTTCCTTTCTCAAAAACTAGGTTTTATATTTTTAGACTTCTCTGTAGCAGTGATTTAAACCTGTGATTATTTTTAATTTATTAGAGGGGCCTTGCCCCCCCCACAAGTTGTATAGGACTAACATGATGTAATTCATAACTGATAACTTCTTTTTTCTAACTCCTTCTAATATTTTAATGTAGCCTATGGACCCCTCTCTGCCTTCACCTGTCTGGTATGATGACACTTTTGTGTCATCATACCAGATGTATGATGTATTCCTATTAGGCTGTTTGGTAGGAATGAGAGCAATTGGTGAGAGAAGAGAAAATTATATTGTAAGACACTAGTCCTCAAGCAGCAATATTCTAGCATCTGATGGTTGTATTGTTAGCCAGTTATGCCATCCAGTCTCTATGTTCAGCTGGTAGCTATTGGGTTCCCTAGGCCAAACTCACAATAAATCTTAATCCCCTAACTTCACAAATCATTTAATTTGATTGCTAAGCTTCACAAATCATTTAATTTGATTGCTTATCTTAAATAGATGACATGGAGCAGCTAGATAACAATGTTCATGAAGCCAAATGGAAGAGCATTTTTTTTTTTTTTTTTGTAGAGGTTGCTATTCCCATCTTATATCTACAGTGGTTTAACCATAGAGCATGGAATAACAGGGTTGGAGCCTGTTCTTCTTCCTATCTTTCACATGGTTCAATAGAGTCCTTTACCTTGTGCTTCATAACCTTGAAACCAAATAGTTGTTGGCATAAATGACATCTCTGTCCTGTGAATGCTGGTCCTCAGTTTTTATAGTATCAGTTATTATTGCATCACCAGTGCAGAAAATTATCTCTCCTGAAGATCATTGCTATGTTATTTGATTTCTTGATAATGACTTTGATGTAGTTTGTGTTGAAGAAACTGGCTGTTTGATAATTCAGAGAAGAGATTGCATAATACACTAGTGCCAAAAAGCCCATAAACACCCCCCCACACACAAAGGATTGGTTTGTAAAAAGTAATTAATTAAATCTTTTCATGTTCTTATTTTTGTTTTTCTTCCAGGGGCTTCTCCGATTTTCCAGATCCCCACGTTTATCCCAGGTAACTTGATGTTTATACTGAGGAAAAAAAGTAGGCAAAGTTTTTTCATTGGATTATGGTGAATTTTGAGGAGTTGTGTGGATGTGAATGAAATTCTGCACTGGGAATACTGAGAGTTATAGTCCAATAAATTTACAGAAATGATATTTAGGATCATTGGCATAAATATAGTGAAACTGCAGAAATAACCATCTTGGAGCCCCTGTACAGTAGGTAAGAGGAAACAAGTGATGGAAGAGACACCATAGCTATCACCTCATCTGCTTTTGTTCTAAAGTCAGCTATCATTAACTAGATGGTAGAAAGCAAGTAAAAGGGGGGGAGTAATATTTTGGGGGACTAGGAACATGAGGAAAAACCCTCATAAGGACAAGTCCATTATAGCTGTGATGACAGAATGGATGAGGAGATGGTATGACTTTTTTCTTCCATTTCCTTTGCCTGTTGCATTAGCTATGGGATTATTTAGCCCTGAATACTGGGGGCAAGGGGTAATTTGAGAAGTTTCCTTTGTGGCTCAGAGAGTTGTACTTATAATCCTGTCTAGGCCTTTGAATTTAACTCCTTGTCAGTGTAGAAATCCATATTAAAGTTTCAATGCATCTGAAGAGTACCCAGTTGCAGAAGAATGACATAGAAGATTTTCCGGACCGATGAACAGTGACACATAAGGATATTCTGGAAACTTCCTCTCATCATGACCTACCCAGATGAGGGCATTCAGACATGGCATCTTTTTTTAATCAAACAATGACATGGGTTTGGTTATTTGATGTGGTCTTATCCTATTTCAGGGTACTGTAATGATATTTCAAGTTTCATTGCCTATAATTGTTATCTTCCATCCAAAATAAAAATTTGTAAGACAAAGTTGGCATTAAAAGCCCTATATTTTATAGTGAACTGAATTCTTGTGTTAGATTGTGAACTAGTATGAATTTGAGTTCAGATCTTGATCCAGAATTGCTTCTGTTCTCATAAAATTTATTTTTCAAGTGTTGGGTTAGCATATAAATTTATTTCATGTCTACTCTTAGTTTTGTTCATACAATTATTTGTCTTCATCTTGGTTACCACAAAATTATAAAATGGGGAAAAATTGGCTAACCTTCCAAAATCAATATCTATACTCTGAAAGTTATAAAAAGTGGGATATGATGATAAATGAGCATTTGAAAACTAAGGACATATTCATGCACAAATTGCTTACTGGAGTTCATTTATATTTCAACAGTAACACTTTATATATTCACAATGCTGGATTCTGATTACTCAGAACAAGTAATCATTTTCTGGTTTCCATCTTACACTGAATCATAAATTATCCAATTGGGCTTGTGTTTAGATAATGCTGCATGTTAAGCTATTCAAAGTTAACAAACACAATCTTTAGAACATTAGAAAATTGAGCATGTTCTAAGAACCCAGCTAGTGTGTGAGAAAAATTTAAAGTAAAATAGGCTTCATTAATCTACACATTTTTCTTCCCACCTGGCCAGCCTCATCTTCAAAGTTGTGCTACTGCCGCTGAGAAGACCCTACCTTCCATCCAGGAGTACAGTGAGGACTCTGAGGACTTCTTTCAGCCTTCACCTGCCACAATCACACGTCGAAAAATCATGTTGCCCAACCTCAATAGCCCAGTAAGGCGGGGTTCACTCAGCAGTCTTCTGGGAGATGATTTGCGTCAGTTCTCTGCCCTGAGGAGAACTTGTCGGTCTCCAGTCCGCTGCAACCGGGTCCACAGTCCTTCTCCACAATGCCGTCAGGAGGAGCGACATTTTGACAGTGACGGTCTCATTGGCCAGAAGCCTAGCAAACTTCTCATTCCCTCTCTCGCACACTGCGGACCTCCAGACCTCAGCCCCAGGTAAGAGGGCCTCATCATGATCCTTGATTTAACTCATGAAATATGTATATATAATACACCATATGTTCTTGAGCATTTGTTCCATTAGTGTGGATTGGACACATAGAAGAGATTCGATCCAAATACAAAGTTCTGTTTTAACCTTAACTAGCACCTTACATTTCTTTAGTTTTAGAAATTTTGGCCCAAATGCAAATCATGATCTAAATGATTCTATTACTTCCAAGATTTAAAAAATAATAATTTGGTCAAATTGATTTCAATTTCTAGGGAAATTTATTTCAGAGATATAGAATGCCAAATATCAGATAAATATGTGAATGGGCTTTGGATTTTGTTGTATTTTTTTTTTCACGAATGCTGCCTATATTTGTTTAGCAGAAGTGGGATAAATTTGCAGGCATAGCTGCCCCCTATAGCAAGGATCAAGCATGTCAAATTTAATTTTGATAGATTCAAGATCTTTATGAACAAGAAGGTTTTACCGAGGATTATCAAAAGAGAATACCTTGGGGAAAAGATTGTTATAAATATGGAATATGGGAGAAGTAGTCTTAGGAAGCCTTCAAAATTTCAGATTTGTTGGTTAATTATGATGTAATTGTGAAAACCATCAGGGATGGTTTTATCACATTCTATTTCTATGGTTTCGTTTGGCAGTTTGTATGAAAATGACTCTATCTATCTATCTATCTATCTATCTATCTATCTATCTATCTATCTATCTAGCTATCTAGCTATCTAGCTATCTATCTATCTATCTATTTAGATTTGGCATCACCCAATTCCAGAACAACTCTTAGACATGCATCTCAGAAGGGAATGTGTGGGAATTTTGGAAGTTATGATAACTGATAATGAATAATGAATAATTATTTTCTGTAGTTAGTAATGTATCAGAAGTTCTATTGGGTAGGGATTATTGATTTGAACATATGTCATTGTGCAAGCTAATGATTTAGTGTGGATCCCATAGATTGCAGCAATATTCTTTTAACACTTTTGCTCCAGGCTGATAGAATTAATAAAGAAAGTCAGCATTATCTGAGAGCCTCCATAAACCTCTTTGTAACTTAGTTTATTCAAGGCTTAGAAATATATTACTCTACTGCCTCCTTCTACTTCTGATTTTACATTTTCCTTATATGATCAGTTTAGCAGAAAAGGTATTATTTGTTTAGATCTGTTCTAGTACAAATTTCTACATCACTAACAATGCACCAGGAAAGCTAGAAACTTTGGGATTTGGCCAAATGCATGCATACTCTTGTATGTTGTTCTTTAAGATACAGATAAATACTTTCTTGAGTCAAATCAGCAGATGTGAATTCTAGTCCCACCTTAGATATGAAAGCCGGCTGGGTGACTTTGGGCAGTCACTCTCAGCCTAAAACACCAGGCTCAGCCAACAAGCAGGTCAGTCAGTTGCTGGTGTAACCAATGGATCAACATTCAGTTGACCTCCACTCCCCCAAAACAGACCTGCACTAATAGGCAAAATGCTAGGAAGAAAAAAAATCTATGTGCTTTTCTTGACAGCAAGGTAGAAGTGGTTTGCCACTTACTTTAACAAGGATGTTTTTCCAACATCCCAGTCTAACCCACAGCCCTGGTGGTTTCCAAGGCAAATATTAGCCATCTCTGGTTTTACTTAGTTTTTTTAAACCAGTCAAAGATGATTGGGTGCTTCTGTGTAGCTCCTACTGAGCTCATTCTTGATCAGGTGGCCCTTTATGGTAATGTTTTTTTAAATAATATCCTTAAGGTCAGGGTGTCAAACTGCCGGCCCATGGGCTGGATGCATCATGTGGAAGCCTTGCCCACCCCATTGCTGGCAATGGCAAAACTGTCCCGATTCGTTGCACGACATCATGTGACATCATGAGTTTGACATGTCTGCTTTAGGTCATGCTCCACTTTAATTAGCCAGCAAAAATGATTATGCCATTTGGCTTTTCTGTCACATGTGCCAAATATCTTGGGTCAGCATTGCCTAGATTATAATTTTTCATCTCTTTGTGTGGGTATCTGTGTGGATATATATATCTCTGCCCCCATTCAAAGTCTGCTTTCCATCTTCATATGAATGAGTAATTTTTCTCAGTGGGTTATATGGTATTCAGGTTTGGATAATACATTATCCATTTGATTAACAATGTAGATCTGAGTTGCAAATCAATTATGTGTGTTTTGTACACAAGGGCAGAACACCAGTTATCATAGGGGGCACAAAGGAAATAATGGAGAAAGGTGGCTTGTATTCTTTATGCTCAACTTCTTATTCATAGAGAGAAAGTTTCTGAATGTGGAGGCTTTACTTTTTGTCCCATAATTCTTGGCTGATTCCCTGTTCCCACCTCTCTAGAATTGTTGATGGCATTGAAGATGACAGTGGAACATCAGAGACACAAACATTTAGTTTTAATGTGGAACAAGCCCAGCAGACTTTGGTGCAGGATCCTATGATAACAGGTAACCTAGACAACTGAAGAGAGGTTCTTTACAGGTTCTTTACAGATCAGAAGCTACTTATACATTAACCATCATTACTCATTAAAAAATATTGTAGAGTATTACTTATTTCCTCTGAACTCAAAAGAGGGTCAACATGGCTCATTTTCAAATAATTTAAATTAGTCACCTCTTTTTAAAAAATAATTTTATTTAAAATTTTAATTACAATAGTAAGAGATAATGCAAACTGAAAAAGGGAAGAAAGGAAAGAAAAAATGCATGAATACAAAAAAGAAATAGAAAGGGAGGGATAGAGAAAATAATCCTAAGAAAGCAATTTCCCAATGTCATCAATGTAAATATTAATAATTTCACTATCTCTTCACCTTCTCTTAATTAACAGATATAAAACACATATATAAGCAAATCAGTAGAAATGTCTCCTCTAATCCAAGTATCAGCAAAAGATCAACCAGAGCTTTAAAATAATAATAATTATTAACAAATTTATTTGCCACCCATCTCACGCTTCAAGGCAACTAAATAATAACATCAACACATACAAAACTCACCATTCCCTATCTCTATTCCTCACTGTAAGCAAATTCACATTTAGAAGGCATAAAGTGGTCCCAAGTATCCTAGTGTAAACAAAAGACTAAAATTTAATATGATAAAGAGGGACAGTTTATCCTTTTAAGAGAAAAAGCTCAAAAATATCCCTTACTTCAAATGGAAAAACAATTAGATACAAAGCCAATTTAAGTGCTATGAAATTAGGATAAAATAACTGTAGAGAAATAGACTTAAACACCATGTTAACTGTAAGCAAATCCAATAGACAACATGCTTCTATTGCAGCTATCAGCTGCAATAGAATTTCCAATAACATGTCCATTCAAATAAATATTCTATAAATATTTATATTTTATTAATTAGTTAATTAATTAATTTTATATTTATTTTATTTTAATCTGATTATTTAATATACTTATATTCTATAAATATTCTATATTTAGAAGGCATAAAGTAGTCCCAATATCTTAGTACAGGAGTCCCCAACCCCTGGTCCAGGATCAGTACCGGGCTGCAGCATTCCAGCAACCGAGCTGCACAAACAAGCAAAACCCTATCCGCGGGATGCAGGCAAAACACAAAACCACGCCCCTCCCCCCAGTCGGCAGAAAAACCTCTCTCCCTTTAACCGGTCCCTGGTGCCCAAAAGATTGGGGACCTCTGTCCTAGTATAAACAAAAGACTGAAATTTGACATGAGAGGAAAGGATAATTTCCTCTTTAAAGAGAACAAACTCACAAAAATTCCTTACTTCAAATGAAAGGACAGTTACTGTAGACACAAAGCCAATTTAAATGCTATCAGAATAGGATGCATAAAGCAAGTTAGAGAAAAAATGCTTAAACACTAACTATAAGCAAATCACATTATTTTTATAATCCAGATGCCAACAAATCAATATGCCCCATTTCAACCCTGATCAGATAAACTAAGTTTGTGTTCCTTCTTTTTACATAAAATGATGTTACTCATTAATCCATTCAGATGATTATTGATTTTTGTTTTAAATTTCTTCAAAACTTTAAATAGACCAGCAAAACAAATATTCTAATTGCCGTGATTGACAATTGTATTTCCTTCTTAATTTTTAAGGCATCCAATGTTTTTTAATGTCCATTGACAAGTTCTTGTTTAAAGTTTTGTTCATATTGTTCTCAAAACTTTGTTGCATATCTTTTTCTGAAGCATTTTCTATGGGGAATAGACTGTTCCTAAGAAGACATAACACAGCTTACACTATTGATTCAGTGTCCTGATGCAGTTCCTCAAAAATGTCTCTGAACACCATTATAAGTTGCTTGTCTTTTTATGTCTCCAATATCTAAAAGTTTTTCTTTCCTATAAAAATGCATTTATTCTTTAAAAGTAATTTCAAAGTCTTAATATTCAAAACCCAATATTCCATTGTTTCTGAGATTTTCATTGTTCAAAAGTTTCTGTAACCAAAATCTTGTCCTGCTTTTTGCTGTTTATTTTAAATTTTTAAAGATTACAAAGATATATCTCATACATTAATTAGAGATTGAAGGCACTCACCTGGTGTTTCCAAACTTGTCATTTTGAAAGTTCATAACTTCTTTAAAGCAATTAACAGGCAATTTCCAAAAATGATTATCAAGAGAACTGCGAAAACAGAGTCCTTTAAAAGGCTACATTCGAGGCTGGAGTAAATATGGCAAATTCTCTCTCCTCCTGGTTATCCCATGCTTTGCAAGTGTCCTCAAAACAAACAACTGTATGCAACATAGCTTGGGTGATCCATGGATCTCTCTTCATCCAGAGAAAGTTGAAGCAATGATCTACTCATCAGCTCCCTGTTCTTAGTTGCTAATGTTGGCTCCATTATTTACAGAGCCATTTTCTGCATGCCTTTCTTCCCTGGATTGAACTAGTCATTCTATATAGTTGTATTTTAATACTTTACTTGTAAAGGTTCAGTGTAATGTTGGGATACCATTTTGCAAAAATGTTGCATATTGCATCTCAAAATGGGCAATATTACACATGAACCTACATGCAAAGAACAGGATATTACTATAATGAAGAAATGTTGTACAGTATATATTTTAGACAAGTTCAAATTAAAAAAATATAAACTGAGATATGAACAAATCATTTGATTGTTTTTTTTTTTGCCTTTTCTTTTCCTGGGAGGACCCATTAGAAACTCCTCAATTAAGTAAATTGAACTAATTGAAAAACTACAGTTAATAACTTTGGAAACAGCCTAATTATTAAAATATCCTTAAAATATGGAACATTTCTGGACTAGATTTTTAATATGCTTTTGTCCTATCTCAATCATAGAATTTTAATTGAGCTTATAAATAAATAAATAATAATTTTATTACGGTCATAGACCAGCAGTAGACATCACTTTTTACAATATATTAAGAAAAAAATAAATAAAATAAAAATAGTACTGACATTAATAGTAAATAATAACATCCCTGTTAAGAAAATACATGATCTCAAAATGTTGGGGTCACTCCTAGTTTACGTGAGTGGAAAGCCGATAAGTGTGTGAGTAAATATAATGTTCCAAAAATTATTAGAGATATCTCCAAAAAATTGGCGCAAGTTGACAGCTATAAATCTGTAACCAATTATTTTCTTGTAGACATTGCCGCAATACAGTATTTTGCCACTGCATGCGTGATAGAAGGGCTTGGAGGAGAAAGCCTACATAAAAATTGTCTGCCCTCCCTGGCAATCTCTCTAATAAGGGGAGAATATATGCTGACCTATAAACTTGATATAACTCACAGTACAATAAAACATGTGAGATGTCTTCGACTTCTCCTTTACCACATATACATACTCGTTCTGCTATTGGTGGTCTCTTATACCTGCCCTGGAGGAGTGTTGAGGGAAAAATGTTAAATTTGTCTCTGAAGAAAGCTATTCTTTGTTTTGGGAAGGTCAGATCATTCAGATATCTTGCCGATTCCCACACACCCTGTTTGATTCTACCCCTACTGTGGCGAGGCAACCTATTTAGTTCTTCTTGGAACTCCATGTCCTTCATTCTATTGAATACTACTTGCTTTGCTTGGTCAAAGCCTAGAGACATTAAGAATACTGAAGAGAGCCCATAAGAGCTCAGTTTATGATCTATTGCCTGCTTCCAGGAGGAAGGGAAGATGTCAGTCAGCACTAACAAGGACAGTCCCTCTGGAAAGAAATGCATTTTAAGCCAGTAAATGATCATCATTTTCCAGGCTCTTACCTAGATTTTCTAATTGAGCTTAGAAAACATAATTTCCTTTTTAAATCTCCCACATTTTTCCAACCATCCTTCTTTTTTATTATTAACTTTTTCCATTCCCAATCCCCTAAGAAGAAAAAGACAAATTGTCTATAAAGATAATTTTGATTAGCAATGCTAAGATCCCCAAATCTGGAAACATCCATGTTTTGATAAGGGTACAAGCAAATTTAGAGTGGGATAACACTTGGTTTGCATCTTTTTTTTTCTATCTAAAATTTGGCCTCCAATATTTTCAGGAAGCATAATACTAATCTTATATTGACATCAGAGGTGAGGAATATGGGTGGATACTTGACCCTAAAAGTCCATGACCACAGTCTCGATTTAGTCTCTACAAATATGAAAAATCATCTTATGAAAAGCAGCAATTTGTCATCAAATTATGATGTGTAATCTTGAAGGTAGAATGGACAAAAATGGAACTGGATGGACAATGGGTTACCTGAATCTGGCTGATTTCAAATCTTTTCATCATTGCTTTACAAATCTGATAAAACAGAAAACAATAGGTAACGGAAGACTTTCTGTTTGTTTGGAAAGGGAGAAACCCAAGGAATATACAGCCAATTGTACTTTGCTTACTCAGATAGTTCTCTATGTTTGCTGCTATTGTAAACAACAAAAAAGAGAAGAAAAATTATAATCATATTTAAAAATACAATAGTACAAGTTAAAGACTTTTAATTTTAATATTAAAAATGAGGGATAACTAGAAAGCCAGATATGTTCTACATATTTGTAAATATCCTTACAAAACAAATGCAGATGAAACTGAATCTAAACTTACTGCAGCAAATATGTGACCAAAACTGTTGAGTCCTTGGCGAAAAGCAGACGCGAGAAGCAGTTGTAGTTCTCAGGTTTTCTTTTATTCTGTGTTCAGCTTACAGGTGAAGGCTTCAGCAACGCCCAAAACCTCCCAGCCTCTTATATAGGCAATTCCCGGGTCAATGTGTTACTTTTCCCGCGCCAGCACCCACACATGCGCACAGGCACTGGCGACAGCCTGTCTGGTCCCGGGCAGCTTGCACCTGCCCGGGACTGCCTGCAAACGCCCCGAGCCCGTTTGCAAGGCTCGGGACATAACACCCCTTTCCCCCGGGCTAAGACTACTACCAGCATACAATTATTTCTTGATGCAGTGTTCTACTCCCCAGTGCTCCTACTGTTTACTGGCTTTTGTTTAGCCAGCAATGTTATGTAATCCTCTAAGTACTTAGGAGATTTCCTTGCTCTCTGTGACCTTCTCAGCTCTGGGTTTCTGACAGGTGTATCCTGACTGAAGGGAGACGTGAACCTGTTCTCCTTATCTTGCCTTGGTGCCTTCCAAGGACTATGCCCCAATGCCTGGCCTGCTTGCTCGCCCACCGGGCTCGTCAGGCCAGGGCTTCTGTCACTTTGTGACCTGGTTGACCTGCCTAGCTGTAGGCCCTCGGGCCCCTTGAAGTGATAGCCACTGCTGGGCGTCTCTGTAGAACCTCCTAGGTCCGTCCAAGACCTGTCAGGAGGCTGTCCAATCCCTAAACCCCGTTCTGTGTCCGGGCTCGTGTGGGTTTCTGTACCTTCCCAAAACTCAGTTACTCCCTGATTTGGGCTAGAGGTGTTGCGGTCGGGACTTGGTTCCTCGACCACCTCCCTGTATGTTTGACCCCCTGTAGGACTTGGGGTAAGGTCAGGCCAACTCTGGGGATTATGTGCCAGCTCTCTTGCGGGATATGATTTATTGGGATGCTCCCAGGTATCCTCCCTGACTGGAGTACTGTGCTGTGCAGGTGAATAGTGATTGTACCCCCGGGGTGACTCCCTGGCTGGAGTAGGCGTGAATGCCTGGTAGTTGGATAGGCTCTTAGAATTCCTGTTTGGGGCACTCGCGGAATCTTGGAATGGGCCGTTTGTGGCTCCATCATTGGAGGTGGGCAGCAGCTCGTGCTCCTCCCTTTGGTCTAAAGGGTCCCCCTCCCCCCTGGAAAAGATTCAGGAGTCTCATCTGAAAGATCCCGCCTAGGGCGGAGTTGGTCGATGTGCCGACGCAGGACACGACCGTTGTCCAGGGCTACCTCGTAGGATAGAGGACCTGTGACCCTGGAAATAGAAGCGGGGACCCATGTATGACCAGGCCCGTAATTGCGAGTCCAAACCGGGGCACCCACAAGTAGTTGTCTAGGTGCTCTAGGATGTGAGGTAGATGAAGGCAGTCTGTCCGGATGCAACCGGTCAAGCTTCGTAGTAAGTTTGCGCCCCCAGCGAAGTTCAGCTGGGCTTCTCCCTGTAGAAGTGGACGGTGTGGTGCGGTAAGAAAGGAGAAAGTCAGCCAACCTGTGATGCCAGTCCCCATAGGTGAGTCTTTTCAAGGCGTCCTTTGTGATGCGGACCATGCGTTCAGCCATACCGTTGGTGGACGGGTGGAAGGTTGCAGACGTGGCATGACGAATCATGTTAGCCTGTAAGAAAGCTTGGAATTTGGAGGAAGTAAATTGAGGGCCATTGTCAGACACGATGACATCTGGGAGCCCGTGTGCAGCAAAAATCCCCCTCAGTACCTGAATAGTCTTTGCAGTGGTGGTGGATGAGACAGGTACAACCTCAAGCCATTTTGAATGACTGTCAACGAGGACCAAGAAGAACTGGCCCTGAAAGGGCCCAGCGTAGTCAATGTGCACCCTAGACCATGGGGACTGTGTATCCTCCCATCTATGCACAGGAGCTTGGGGCATCTCTGGGCGAGAGCGCTGGCACAGGTGGCATGCATGCACCTTAGCCTCAATGTCCTTATCTAAGCCAGGTCACCACAAGTGGCTGCACGCTAGGGCCTTCATGCGAACAATGCCAGGATGACCCTCGTGGAGGGACTCTAAGATCCTAGTCCTCATTGAGGTGGGAATGACAACTCTGTTTCCCCAAAGCAGACAACCCTGAGAAGTGGACAACTCGTTCCTTTTGGACCAGAAACTCTGAAACTCAGGACTAGGGCAGTGCTCAGGCCATCCAGACAAATCCCAAGAAAGGACACGTGAAAGTGTGTGATCTGTGCCTGTTTCAGCGGCGACATCCCTGGCATTCAGAGGGGACTCGGGCAAGGCTTGGATGGATAGAATGTTGACAGCTGGCGCAGGGTCAGCTTCTACTACTGGCAGGGGCAATCTACTGAGGCCATCAGCATGGCCCATTTCTTTCCCAGGCTTGTGGAGTAAGGAAAAATCATATGCAGACAGAAAAATAGACCACCTAAGCATTCTAGGGGAAATGATTTGGGGAGTTTGTTTACATGTGGTAAACAGTCCCAGCAGAGGCTTATGGTCAGTGAAGACCGTGAAATGCCTGCCATACAAGAAATCATGGAATTTTTTAATTCCAGCAACAACAGCCAGAGCCTCCCTGTCTATCTGAGCGTAGTTGCGCTCAGCAGAAGACAGTGTTCTGGAGTAATATGCAACAGGAACCTGAGTTCCATCAGACCTGAGGTGGCTCAGGACGGCTCCTACCCCGTAAGGGGAAGCATCACAAGCGATGCACACAGGAAGGGACTCATTGAAGTGTGCAAGTACACTGTTAGAAGTGAGTAAAGCCTTGACCTCATTGAAACTAGCCTCATGTGTTTGTGACCATTGCCACACTGCTTGTTTGTCTAATAGCCTGTGAAGAGGCTCAGCTACACTAGCTTTATGTGGAAGAAAGGAATTGTAGAAATTCAGGAGGCCCAGAAAGGCCTGAAGTTCGGCCTTAGACTTTGGCCTAGGTGCTTCTAAAATGGCAATTAGTTTGGATTCAGCAGGGTAAATCCCAGCAGCATCAATTTTGAATCCCAGAAATTCAGTAGAAGGCACCCCAATT